ATTTTTTAGTGGGATCTAAAACCAGATAGACAATTTCTTATACCTATACCGAAGGTAAAACTAAAATATCGTATAGACAAGTTGGTGTTTTAACTAAAATACAGTTTTTACTGGTAAAAAGTTTGATTTCCTGATCTGACTTTCATTTAACAACTATATTGCCTTATACTTACACTAAAATAATATCTTAACTGTAGTGTTATTTTTACTATTTTTATTTTAGCATTCTGGAACACTCTAGTGAACTCCCTGTTTTTGAAAGAAAGAACATCTAAATCAGGAAGCCAATTCAGAATACTTTGTGTGCCTTCATCAGTTTCAGATAGTTCACTTGAAAACTTGCTGGCCTTATTCGTTCTCTAGATTTGAAAGTGATTAGTTGTTTTCTCAGAGACAGTCACAGCTACAATATTGCAGTGTTTTTATTAAATCATGGAGTTGACACACTGCAGCCATACACTGATGCAATTCTCATTTCTGTTGTTACTATCTGCAGGGTTTGTGTTTTTATTGAAGCTGCTTTTTTTAGAGTAAAGAACTGGAAAACACCATTCCTTGTGAAGTGTACTATTAACCACATACTATTTCAGTGAGGCAAATTTATCTACCAACCTCAAAGCCTATGAGCTACCACTTTGGAAACAGTTATATCTTGAGTAATAAAGTGTAACAGATACTGTACTAATATTAAATGCAATTAAAAGGCATTCTATCAGAACAGTTGTAACAACTTTTACCTCCTTAGAAAGTAAAGCAAAAAAGCCATCAGTGTCAGTGGTGTCCTCAAATCCAAGAAGTGTTCATTCATATATTTGTCTGTGTGCTGCTGTTTTCATAGCACTTTTTGGTAGAGAGCCACTAAAGGGTGGACTTTGAGGTACTGGTGCACTTTCAGCTAACTGCAGAGGACTGTGTTTCTCACACAGTTTGGACTGAATTCCTATTTACTTCTGCATCCAAACTCCAGATGCAGTGATTTGCACCTCAGGCTTGGATCTGCTGCTGTAAATGTGCTGTTTAAACATAATAACTACAGTAGTTTACCTCTACACTTTACTGTAGCGTATGCAGTATGTCCAGTTTCAAAATGTTTCAGAAAAAAGTCAATCCAGATAAACCATAATTTCCTGAAAGTGCAGTAACTGTGATAAACAAGACCACAATCTGATCAACATTATGACTGTGGTCTAGACCTCCAAAGTTTCATCTACACTGTAAACAGAGCAACCACAAAGTCAGCAGCAGCAATTTCCAATTTGACTATCCTGGAAAACTGCAAAAGAATTAACAGAATGGCCAAGGAATCTGTTATATCTGAGTCTGAATGCTCAGGATGTCCTCAAAGCCCAATGACCCTGAATACCATCAGAAAAAGAACTGCCAGTGCACTAAGACAACATCACAGTATTTTATTTTTCTTTCCTTTGCAGAAATAAAGAGAGAATTGGATGCTGCTTTTTATCAACTTTCAAACCATCAAAACTAGTCGGAAAAAGTTCAATTAAGTGTTCATCAGTGATGAGCTATTATGACATGTAACTTCACTGGCAGATCATCCAGCCTACAGCCAGGCATTTATTTTGGAAGCAGAAGAGACCAGGCCCATCAATAACCACTGACAGATACAGCAGAACCTTTTAAAGGTTACTTCTGACATACTGTACTTTCAGCTGAGTGAAACATTAAAGAAGTGTACCTTTATCTGATTTCACTGAAGTCAACAAAGCAAGACGAGTCACCTTGCAGCCCGAGAGATCAAATCTGTTGCTTACAGAAAATCTCATCTTGAAAGTCTTTTATCTTAAGATTTAAGTGAAGGGAGTGCTCCTAACATTCTTGATGATTAATAGCAAATAAAATCTGTTCTCACATTAGAAATGTAACCTTGCACAGCCTTGGAGGTTCAAAGGAGGCTACCAAGATTCTAGCCCTAAGGGCAGATGAGTAATCATCACAACAGCATTCTTTAGACAATTCACAACTAATGTTTTGTAATTTCTTGATAAAATTATTAGATTCCCCTACAACTGCCAGAGTCCACAGTTTTACTATCATAGTCAGGATGCTTTAGTAGGATTTAAACAAATGATTTTGTGTATGAACGGGGACAGGTGCTATAATTATAACACTGAAACCTGCAATCCAGCATGTGTTGCATTAGAAAACTTTTTGTTATTGTCTCAGCCATAACTTTTCACATTCATGGGCAGAACCATGCAAAAACATTCTCACCCTCACTCCCCCACCCCCAACTTCTAAAGGAAAATAATATTTTCCTGTTATTAGGGGGGTTACATCAACTTGACCAAATCCAAATGATCATTTGGGGTGGTCTGGGAAATGGAAAAAAAACAACAACCCAACAATCCAGAAAAAAACCACAGATACTACAGGACCCAATGTGAACTTATTCCTGGCAGCTGCTTTTCACATGCTGTGTTCAGCTGATGACCTAACACTTCATGTGACACATAGGGACAGAGCCCACAGCTGGGGAAGGAAAACTGCGGGTGGACTAAGAGCTCACTCCTTCCAAGTAGGAGCCAGAACTGAGGCAGATTTACTAACAAGACACTGAGGCCATTTCAGAACCTCCAGTCAATCTATTTCACAATAATCACTCCCTGAAATGCACTCATCCTCCATCACTGTTGTAAAACCTCACAGGCCCTGGCATTCCTTTGTAAACCAGAGCACTCCTATGTGTGAACAATTTTATTTAAGTATGCTTTTATCTTTCCTGGTCTGTTTCTTCTCAGCAGTATACCATTTCCTAAAGATTGAACTATCTTTATTTACTCAGTCTGTAATTCATACATCTCTGCTTCTAAGAAAAATGCCATGAATAAGAAACAGGTGAAATTTTAGTAGCAAAAAATATGTGAAGTGGAACTGTTTCTAACCACACAAACAAAAAAAGAATAAAATAATCTGAAGTGTTTCAAAATAATGCTTTTCAAAGGCTTACTATTTAAAATGAATTCTGGTGCAAAACCTGGCATTTGTCTCATTTATTACCTAGGAAAGAAAATGTATTACAGTGTGCTGAATGTCTAAACAACAGAGATGAGAAAGTCATTGAGGACACAAGTGAGACTTGAAGCAGCTTGTGTCTGCTGTGGGTCTATAAAAGCAGCAGTTAAGTGGCCACTGCTCCACTCTTGGTCAGACTTCACCCGTCCTGACCCCCAGCACAAACAACAGTCCCGGAGCACAGAGCTGGCGCGCAGAGGCTCCCCATAGTCCTATCTGTGACGTACTTGGCAGAGCTCTCTTTATGACTTTATATTCCATAGAGTGTGTAAATCTAGTGAAAAAGTGTTGCAAAACATCATGTAAGAGTTATAAATACTAATCCTCAGCAGATCAGCTTTGCACTTGCATGCCCTGGATGCATCACTATTTGCCATACAGAAAATGTGATGGTTGACCATAACATCGAGAACAAAATTCAAAGCAGCTCTGAGAAGTTTAAACTAAAGCTTTGCAGATATAGGCTCCTAAGTTCATGAGAGTAACCTATATGCAGCCTGCTCCTTTACCCTGTTCAATTAAGTCAAAAAGCTGTGGGTTTTGCTACTCTAGATACCTAACAGCAAAGCTGTCCTGGTGGAGTTAGCTGTAGACACACATCATTAACTGAAGGCCATCTGGAATCCAGAAACTAGACCTCCCTGTGTTTTAATGTCCCCATATGACCTTAATTTCTTAGCTGAGAAGAGACACCAGTTACCTTTTATTAAAAAAAAAAAAAAAAAAAGAAAAAGAATAAACTGCCTTAGTGGCTAGAGCATCTGGCAAGGAAGGAAAAATGTTACACCCAAGGCTCATAAAGGAGTATGAGCGTCCAGCTTCAGCACCACTGGCACCAAGGCACCAGCCTCAGCAGGATCCTCAGGGCAGCAGCATCCACCAGCCCTTCTCTCAAATGGGGCCACTAAACTGCCTGGTCACAGAGAAAGCACCTGTCAGCATAGCTCAGGACCTAGGGCAACTCAAGATGGAACCAACATTCCAGATTGTGCTGCTAAGGTCAATTTCTGCTTTACACTAGGCAGTCACTGGATAAAAACAGAAAAACAAGCAAGAGGGTAATTACCCTGAAATCTAAAGCCAAAAACTTCACTTTTACACAACACAGTACTGCAATCTTAAAATCTTGTTCTGAATCTGTATGGAAGATCCCTCAAAATGCTTGGTACATTGTCACATGACCTCAGCTTTGTTCCACTGGCACATTCTGGAACTGAACTTCAGACACGTTATTAAAACATTTTGAGAAAATGAGACAAACTGCCAAATTTCTTGGCTAGTGACAGAAAAACAAAGAAGGTGGAAGTTCAACCTGTTTTAAAGTTTCTAAGAAACACTATGCCTTGAGAATAATTTTGTCAAGTATTGTATAAAAAAAAGATACTAAGAGAAGTAGTAAAAGTAAGGAAGTGCTTGAAATGAAACAATTTTACTCACAGATGCAATCCTTTCAACTTTAGAAAGTCCTTCTAAATATCTTTGAGGCTTTAACATTTGCTAATGTTAAGTTACAAATCATTAATATTTGAGGGTTTTTTTTTTTTTTACCTGAGGAGTCTTGCTATTTTTTAACTTTCAAAATTGTAATTTTTAAATTACACCAATGGCAAAACAAGTTTTACCTAATTGCTTATGGGATTCTGCTTAAACTTTGTGCTCTTCTATTCATTCCTTAGCTTTTCACTTTCATAAGCATGATTTTACTTGTCTTACTTAGATATGTGTCTAAATAATACATATGTATTACTAAGATATGTGTCTAAAAATACACATGTATACATTTATCTATGCATCTGTTTAAATCTAAAGAAATGTTCTTATGCACCCCTTCTGCAGCTCCTGGAATTCCAGTAACATTTAACACGTACCAACACTTCATGTATGGAAATAAGCAGTAGCAAAAACACACCTCACAGCTCAAGTAGTTTAAAAAAATACAACCACCTTGCCTGTAAACTTACTCATACCTGGTGTGGATGGTCTCTCCAGCATATTCAAATGATGATAAATGAAGGCTTGGCTGTCATGAACTGTGTCCATATCAATTTCCTCTTCCTCTTGAGAGTTTGAGAACTAAGATATCGGGAAAAAAAATAAGCAGATGCTAATAACTCATAAAAACATTACTAAACAAAATTTAAAATATTTTCTTTTTGAGGTAAACTGGGGGTGAGAGGGAAAGGAAGTGATATCTACCACTGCAAATGAATAAAAATTCAATAAAATTAAAAAGGGTCAGTGTCTTTCCTTCTTTCTAATTTACTGTGAAGCTGTGTGAACAAGAGCATTATCTGTCAACTTTAGCCCTTGCCAGCCAATAAAGAATCTGATAGGAAATGATTTTGCCAAAGTAAGCATAACAACTGCTGTACATGTATACACAGCATGCCTTTTGTTTCAACACAGCTTCAAGGGAAGCCAGCAGACGCCACTGCTGTTATTCTGAACACCCTACACATTGTGCAAGTTGAATTTCCATTTCTTACTCTGATTTTGAGTTTGACTTTACTGTCTTCATTCTTCTCTAGTATTTGCCCTGGCTCCAATGGAGACCCGAGTGGCATATCAGCCTTCCTCTTCACCCCCTGCTGATGACCAGAAATGCTGGATGCTGTTTCCTTAATAAGATGATCATCCTCCTGAAGCAGCATTAAAAGACCAAAATTAGAAGATAGCAAGATCCATGTTTCAGAGAAAGCGACCTGATACCTGAAAAATCTTCTGAGTAAAGTGGGTGATTTGAACAAAGTTTTCTCTGTAGTTCTGGCAAGAAGCATTTTCTAAAACCCTGCATGGATTTGTGCCAACCACTCCTACAAACATAGTTTCTCTTTACTTCTATCCCTGCTCCCTCTGCATATCTAGCATTGGCATCTTTTCTGTCGCTTCTCACAATCATGGTACTGTTGGTGTGCAACAACATTTGCTGCCTCTGAATAGCCTGTCTATAAATCTGTGCCTTGTAGACTCTCCTCAGGAAAAATCTCAGTTGAAAAACTGTGATAGCCTCTGATCTACACATGGGATTTAGCTAAATCTTCTTTTAGTTTGTTTTAAAGGCTAAAGTTTACTTAGTACAAATCATAATGAGTACTTATAATTTTTTTCTTTATTTTACAACAATATTTATTAAAAAATAATAAATCTGTTTTGTAAATTACTGCTTAGATTATAAAAAGAACAAGGTCAAAGAAACAGAAAAATAGGAGAGTCTCCTAAGTTACACATTATAGTAATAAAAACAGGAGATAGGTGTTTCAACAAGTCCAACAGACAAAATTTAGAAGGGAAAATAAAGCATCACAGAAGCAAACATAATTCAAAGCTCACTAAAAACTATAAAAGGCATATATACCATATACTCTCAAGGGCATATACTGTTCCCCTGAAGTGCTCTTCTTCCATCCTACAAAGGGCACTTTAGCCCCACAAACTCTCGCCCTGAACAATTCAAGATCCGTTTTATGAAGTGAGTAACTTCAATCATCCTCAGCAGCTTCAGTGGCACTACTGTATCAGTACTGATTTTAACATGTTTATGCTCTCAATGTATGTCTACTTTAAAGAATCTAGTTAATCTGATATATTCTATCACCTGTTTACTCTTTTTTCCCCTCAAATATGCAGTTCCCTTTTTCATCTCTATTACTTTGTCCAAGGCATTGCTATTGTGAAACACTTCTGGATTAACTTCGTCTGACATAAGAGGCAGTCTTTGTTTGATACTTTGTTTGATACTTTGTTTGAAAATCAGTTCCCCAAGTTTTGGGGAAGTTACAGTGAAAATGGTAACCTTAAGGTAAGAGGTAGGAGAATGAAGATGAGGAATAGGAGAAGATACAAGGGATGAAGTACAAACTGAGGCTTATACCAGTGCTGTATTTCCACACCAGTGCAAGCCAGTACGCTGCTAAATGAAGCAGCCTCAGCCACACACGGTTCTGTCCTGGGGTGCCACAAACATTTTTACAACTACGTGACAAACTGGCTCAGGAAACTGAAATATCTGTTCATAAAAATCTGTTCAACCAGATCTTCCCTGATTCAGCTCACTCTTGCAGCAAACACTACTATGCTAGCACAAGGTAGAGGACAGTTTAGGAAGAGTTAAGAGGAAATCTTTCGGTAGTCTGGCTGCAAAAAACGTTTGGGTGTTCACTGAACCGCAGCCTAAAAATCTGGCAACAAAATGCGCCCTGCTATTTAATTCTAATGATTAGGTGCAGCAAATTAGGACTTATTACATGCTCTGTAAATATGCAGGACAGGTCTAACAATATCTGACTCTACCAGCACTTTCTCCCCCTGCTGGAAAGGGCCTGCAGGGTACTGTTAATTAGTACTCAGCATACTTTTCAATACAAACTATTTAGACATTGACTATGGGACTGATAAAGTAAGAGTAAACCATCCTATTCAAAAGGGTGGAAAGAGTTTCAAACATGCTAATCACACACTGGTTTTGGAATTGTTAAGAAAAAATCACTTCTTATTTCCATGTTGATTTATTTCCCCCTCTCACAATTAAATTTGTCCAACAAAAATACTTGGTCTTGCAGCAGTGGCAGTTATTCTTGAGGAAAGTATGACCTTAATAGTTTATAAAAATTTATTTTCTAACTATGCAATGGAATGTGTGTTAGGACTGAAGCCTTCAAATCCAGAAAGATACCAAACTGAATGTATGCCATTCTTCAGAAGTTGTTACAAATCCTTCAGAGCACAATACCAAAATGTCAGATTCAAATGCTCAATGCAGATGTGTTAAAATTTCAACTTTCACATCACTTTAAGTTGTTTAAAATGAGGAGTATCTATGTATTTTAAGATGGAACAGATTTACTGATAAAAGGTTTTGTTTTGGAAAAGTGGATAACTTGCCTATAAGAAACAGTCTCATGAAAAAAGCTTTCACCACAGCATCAAACATTTCTGTGAATCACTTCATATCTCATAAGCAATATATAAAGTTTCATAAAGAACAGAAATGATGAGACTAGAAAAAAAAACAAGTAAAAAGCTTACATATGCAATGCAAAACAGTTAAAAAATGTCCAAAAAGTCATGGTATACACCAGCTTTTCAAGTGGACAGAATAAAGAGCAATGAGGTCAGAAGGTAGCTTAAGTAAAGCATGAGATGCTTGAACACAATACAAAATTAAATCAGCAACCCATGCAAGAACTCTGAGCCAGCTGAATAGGATGGATGCAGATAGTTTGTGCTTACGGTGTTCTGAAATCCCACTGGCTGCCCATGATTGTTAGAACTGTTCACAGGTTCCTGATTATTTGCAACTGATTCAGGGATAATCGTTGGATTGAGTACAGCCTTCTTTTCTTTCAGGTTAAGAACAAGTCCAAGCTCTGGTAATGGTAAACAGGAAGGTCTGCTGAGGCCAAAGAGTGTGAAATAGAGGTCCACAGCACCACATCGTAATCTCCAGTCATGTGAAGTTCCTAAAATACAAGAGAGATTGTTAATACAGAGATAAAATCTTCTCCTCTCCCACAAATATAACAGCTTAAGTAATCCAGGCCCACCAGAGTATGACATTTTCTGTGCTTAAGATACACTTCCTTCAATATCCCTGCCTCTTATTAGCTCTTACTCACTTGCTTTCTTTTTAAACTTTCCTGTTTAAAAGGAAGGCTTTAAGTTTCGTGGGTTGTAAGTTAGACATGTTTAGTAGAACAGGACTGGAAAAGTAAATGCTGTAATAACATAATGAAAAATAGAAGAAAAATAACCACACCCATATGCCTTTCTTTTTCAAGCTGCACTCTTAAGTTTTTCTACTGGACAAGTAAATAGAAGACTTTATTACCAAACTGGCTTCCTGTATCAATGGATTTGTTGCATTTGCCTATGTATTCCACAAAATATTGTAAGAGCTTTAAGCATGACTAAGATTTTTACTCTCTGGAAACCGCACTGATAAAGAGAAATGCACAAGCATGCTTTTTAACATCATTACAACATCATGAACTTCACTGAATACTCAATACTTTAATTTGTATTCATACTCAAAGTATGTATTCTTACTGCACAAAGCAATGCTTTATTTTTTTATTGTTTTTCACTACAAACTGTGTACTGCTTTATATCTTTACACACAAATGGTCTAAGCACGTTTGGCACCAATCACAACAGAAAGACATTTAACATCTGGTGCAATGCTGCAAGTACAGCAGTTCTGGTGTTAACTCAGCCCAGCTCTTGACTGATTGCAAGTTTATTGAACATATTGTTCCCCAGCAGGAATTGAACTATATCTGGTAAACAAGACACAGATGTGCCAACTGCCATATTAATGTGGCTGTGCAAGACTTAGCACAAAATAAAATCACAAGAACTATCCCTGTAAATAGTAGTTTTATGGGGCCAAAATAGTGTTTGGAGTAAGCTTAGCTTGCCCTTACCAGTTACAAACTACCAGCTACACATACCCAGTTACAAATGAAAGCAACATTAATATTAATCTGGACATTTCTAACCTTAAAATACCCTCACGGAATGACACATTCAAAAATATTAATTTTAGAACTACTATGATATTATCAATTTAATTCAGATGTACACAGCAAAAAACCCATTACATATACCAATCAGAGTCTGTTCTCTATTACATGTGCTTATGTTAAATGAAAGCAAATCATGATTCTACAATCGTGCACTTTTAAACCTGGCTACTAGCTTGTCACACATAAACAATTTTTTTCAAGGCACTCTGGAATGCCACAGTTATCCCTTACAGAAAATTAAGTGAAACATTATGTCATCTTGAGGCATAGAAATTTAGGTGCTTAAAGACCCATGAACCTTAATAAGCATGTATACCCTATTTGTTACTTGCAAAAAGAAGCAATGCTTGTAACACTGCACACACTCTTCTCTCATGAAAAAGCAAAAACAAATTCTCTGATGGGAACATCAAAATTGTTTATTTTCTGTGTCTGACCCTTGGCAATTCCTATGAAACTGAACTACTAGTAGTCTCCCCACTTCAACCCCTGGAGTGTAGCTGTAAACTTTTAAACACTGAATATAATGACACACAGAGAACAGAAAGCCTGCAATGACCTAAAAATGCTATATAAATGTTTATATGTAATCTATGTGGTAATGTGCCAGATGTTAAAGGGCACTTTGTCAGGACTGGATAAAACTGCTTCAGCAATGAAGAACAGGTCAATGGTAAAGATGCAAGCCCTTCTCTCACTAGGATCTTTCCTAATCTCACAAGGCAAACTGAGTTTTAGGCCTATAATGCACCTCTAAAAATCTCATTTAAATTATCTATATCAATGCTGTCCTCTCATATTCCCAGAGAGTTTAGAAAAAGAGGACAAAAAGAGACCATCTAAAGTAAAGCAACCTCTAAGTGTAACACAGACACCATTATTTGAGGAAACACTTGCTTTGAACAATTTTGAACATTCAAAGTATGATTCTGTGCAGAAGAACATCAAAGCACACTACGTCAGTAACCAGAATAATTAAAAACTAGGTTTGGTAGCCTATGTCACTAAGAGTGTTCTGGAAGCACAGAGATGATATTCAGCTTCTGAGACTGGGTTTTCAATTTCTAACTACTGAAACTAAGAGAGCTCTTGGCATATTCTGAAGCAAGTTTTTAATACTTATTTCAAAAAACCTCACAATAAAACTCTAACACAACAAAACAACAAACAAATAAAAAAACTTAACCTGAATTCATCAGTTTCCAAAGCTGATCTACCAAAGCTTCATTACATAAGGGGGACTCCATATTCTTGGTGAAAGGTGGATTCTTAGTCAGCATATCCAAAATCTTATGCCTGAAATAAAAATAATCTTTATTAAATGCAAAAGAAAAACCGTAAGGATACAAAGTCTGTTCAGTTTGCAATATTCTTACAAACTTACAGGATTACGTCCCAATTTTTAACCAATGTTTTATGCCTTCTTTCTTCTTCCTTCTCTTCACAATATGCATTAGACACACATTTACCATCAGCAGTATAACTTAGAGATAAAAAGTAAGGTGCAAAGCAGTAGGATGTTTTTAGACACAGTTGTTAACAGTTGTAGACTACATTAAGCTCTTCTGTTTAGTCATTATCCTTTTTTGCACACTGACTTGGAAATTTACTAAGATGTAACACTGGCAAATAAACTCCTTACATACTGATACCAAAGAATTTTTAAATGACTGTAAATGTTTATGACTGATACAAAATGGCAGGCCCAAAAACAGTGACTTGCACATTTTCCTGGAAACAAACACTATCACCTCTTATGTTACATTGGTTTCTGAAGATCCTGCACTTACCATGCTGCTTACAGTATTTACAGATTGAGCTGAAAGAAGATACATTTTTGTTTCTTCAAACTTGGCCTTGAAAACACTTAATGAATTCTTTGTTTCATTACTTATTATTTTAACATTTTTTCTCTGTACAGCCAGCTTTCACCTTGCTGTCTTACACATTTGGAACAAGAAGACTCTTGCAGATACTTCTTTTTTTTCCCCATTCTTCTTTTAGAAGAGGCTAACATATCACACTCAATTCAAAATTTAAATTCCTCTTTAAAAGAATACAAATAAAATTAAATCTCCTTCTTAAACTGAAGCTAAACCTGTATTTATTTCTATTAACAAGAATGAGAGAAATGAAACAGAACAACCTTGGTATTGGTAAGAAATCACCTATATAGAGAGTAAAAGTAGTATTATTCAACTTTGAAACTCAGTACTTCAATGGTGGTCATAACAATAAGATGTTGGGAAAAAACAATTATTATGAACCTTGGTGTTCACAGGTTTGTAACGAACATTCTAAAACACCCAACCATTCATGTGAAAATGAAGTTGAAACAAGAAATACTAGAAATTTCACCATATTTTCACATGATCCTTTCACCCCATCTACAGTCTGACAATTGCTTTACACCCTTTGGTGTCCAAATATTGTGTGCACTATGTCTTAGCCTCTGTCTTTTCTAAATATCACAAAGTCTTTTTTTGCCATATACAACATCATATTTATACACTTTATTTATGATCAGGAAATAATCTCTAACTTCAGACTTCTGCCACAAGGTAGAACATAAAAGACAAAAATAACATAATGCAGAATAAGAATAGAATATCCTAATTTTTGAGATGTGAACTGTTGAAACATCTAAACGTGTTTCAATTAATGTAAAATAACAAGAAGGAAAAACAGTTTTGTGAAGAAGCAGTAAAGGATCTGATCTATTCTATCGATCCCAGGTGAAGAATTTACTTAATAGCTTCAGCATTAGTAAAAAACCTGTCTCTTTATTAACTCACTTACCTTATGTAGGGTACAGGATCACTTTGAACCATAGAGAGTAGCCACTGTAGTTCTTCATAGCTCCTATCAACTACAAATCAAAATAAAACAAAATGCCTATTAATATATATTAACTGGAAGGACTTTGATGAAGACAATCATGAGTTCTTGAATAAGGACATAAAGAGCATGAAGCACTGCAACTAAAGAGGAATTCCACTAACTATGCAACAAATTCAAAGTAAAAAGTGTCTTACCTTACAGGAAACAGAAACATTTACAAAACCCTTACATGCTTCAATTGTTCAATAACAACCAATTTGACTATAAGCATGAGCATTCACTGGGAAATTCAGAGTAAAGGCTCATCTTGATATTGTGTGCTTCCTAAAATGAACACTATCAAATATCCTTTCAACAATCAGAAGCATAACATCTTCTGTAGAGTAGATAGAATTCTCATACACAGGAATCTGTGAAAGATTACTATGTTTACATAGGACAGAAAGAGGACTACTACAGGGCTCATATAAAACTGCAATCATGCTCCCATCATTAGCCTTCATTAGTTTTCCAAATCATTATACTTTGCAGCTAAAATGGATTTTGAAACCTATCAGCACATGCTTGTAGAAAACTGGAAACAAAGTCAGCTTGTTAGTTGGAAATGTAACTTACATTATAAAATTCCTTTGATCATCAGAGTAATATTGCAAAATAGGAAACTACATGGGAAATCATCATCACTCATTACACAAAACATGAAAGAATTTTTATTGTGATCTTTTTGTCAGGTGCATAACTGTAAGATTTTATAGCAGTATTATCTTCTCATTTCTTCAAAACAATGAAGACAGTGTATTAATCATTACTGAACAGAGGTCAAAAAACATTTCTGTTGCTTTCCATCTTGTGGTACCAGCAATGGATTTCTTTCTTCCCCTAGCCAATTGTATTTTTAGCTCTAAATACCTCAGTTCAACTTTTCTTCCTTATTTTGGTTTGTTTTCAGTCAACAATTTAAAAATATAACTTCTTTAGTCCAATCTATTATTTTTTTTTTGTTATTTCACTAGAGTAAGTTGCTTTTGACAGAAGAGGCATTTATTTATAATATAAGAACCAGCACTTCATTCTATTACAAGTTTTAAAAACGCTTTGGACAACTAGAACATAAGACCCTTTCTGGGCTAGGAGAAGGCAACTAGATTAAAATGCTGCTTAGAGGATGGCTGGACAGTCTTTTGCAGGCCACTTGCAAGTCAGCCCTGCTCTTCCCAAATCCAGCCAAAACAAAGCTGGTTACACTGTGAGGCTCCACTAAGCCCTGTTTAGAAGCAGAATGTATTAGTTCCCACAGTGCACTGCTCAGAACATGGCTACACAGTTCTGGATGATGCCAGACCAAATTTGTATCCATACACATCAGAATTATAATCTCAGATTTGCCTTAAAAACCAGAAATCTTTGAAAAACTATGCAGGAACATACTTTTAAGGGATTAGTGACTTCCTGTGCTCAGCTCAATGCACAGCTGCTCTGCCTGGCTTGTGACAGAAGGCAACTAGAACACTGCAAACAAAAGTTGTTTTGCATGGAACAAAAATAGTACTTTATTACCACACAGCAAAGAATTGCAACACTGCAAACATGAAGTCACAATCATTAACAAACTGTAATTATTTTGACTAACAAAAGGGATTTTAAAATGCTTTTAAATTAGAAAATGAAAAGTCTGGGAGATTAATCCTTTAGGCTGATTGTACTGGAAAATAAAACCAAGTAAAGGATGTGTTGTCCCAGATGCAGGACCTTGCATTTGTTTATCTTCATCCAGCTCTTGCTCTCCTGCTCTCCCAGCCTGCCCAGGTCTCTCTGTGAGATGTCTCTCCCTTCTGACGTGTCCACCTTGCCACAAGCATTCTCATCAATAAACCTGGTGAGGCTGCTTTCAATGCTGCTCTCCACATAACTTCTGAAGATGCTCCCTGGGGGACCCATTTGTGACAGACTGCCAGCCTGAGTAAAAACCACTGATCACCACCCTATGAGTGTGGCCCATGACCTGAATTCTTACCCACTGCACTGACCACCCATCCTGTCTGTAGGTTGCCAGTTTGTCTATGAGAAGGCTGTGGGAAAAGCAACGTGTAGATTTTCATACTTCTGGTAGATATAAAGGCATGTGATTGCTTTCTGAAACAAAATCCCCTTGCAATTTTTTTTTCAAATTGCAAGGAGTGTTGTCTCAGTTCTCAGTTGCAGCAGAGCATCTTTGACACTGAACATTAACATTCACCAAATTTGATAATGGTTATTTATTTAGAATAGTTTGTTATCTCTTCTAAGTATGCAACTGCCTTGTTCCATGCAAGTAACTATTAACAGTAATATAGCTCTCACAAGTTAACTTTAATAAGTAAATAAACTCTGTTCACTTCAATCCATTTTAGATAAACTGTCCAAGCCCTTGTATACTGCCTCAAGCATTTTAAAAAGTTACCATTTCTCAAAAAAACCCTTGCTATTAATGGCAAAGAAAACAAGTTACTCAGTTCCATGGAGAAATGATTTCTTTTCAAGTAACTCAAAAAAAGGTAGTGTTATTCCTACTCTGAAAGTTCCACCCAGAAAACACAGACTTTCCTTTTTATGGAAATTACAAAATCTGTCAGCTTCCTTTACAAGAACTGTTAAAAGCCAGCTTTGGCACAAGCAACAGGCACTTGATAGCTGCTGGTTTGCATCCAGTGTAAACTGGAAACCAGGTAACTGGAAACCAGGTAACTGGGAACAACGAGAATCAGATCTCTTAGCAATAGATGGCCAATCGTTTCTCCTTCCAAAGCCAGGTTTAGGGCTCTGCAAGACAAGCACTGCTAACTTCTCTATGGCTAGAGGAAGAAGTCAGTTGGCACACTGAGTTTCTGGATCATCCCTCCACCAAAAACCCACCAGCCTTACAGCAGGAGCAGGAGCTCCTGTGCTGAGGGCTGGAAGCTGGTATTTGAGAAATGACTGATGACCAGCTAGATAGTAGGCTGCGTGGTGAATTGTAGTGACTTTATAGAAGATGGCTATTTGCATCTGCTACCTCTGCATCAGAGAAAAAAGCTGTTAGCAAGGGGCAAGGCAGCTAGGTACAGCAGTATTCCAGTCTGTCATTATCAGATCTCACAGTGAGCTCAGTCAAAAACTGTTAAGCTCAGCCACTGATTTCAAGTTTCAGCTTCCTGTAGGTTTCAAGCAAATTACTCTATTATCTTGCATATATAACATCCCGTTTGATCAGCTGTTTTAAAGATGTATTTTATTACTTTGTAATACACTTTCTTATTTGAGCCAGTTATTAACCATAAATACCATCCATAAAAGGTCAAGAATTTAATGAGAAAACATTATTTCTATCAGTTTTTCTTTCCACAGGGTGGGATGAATTAGTGAGGAGATTGTTCTAAAGGAAAAGAGCTGATGAGTAAGCTTTCTATTCTCCAGCAAATATTTCCACTAACATTCTGTGAAGGGTGGAAAAAAGCAATTAGCCCACCAGAGAGAGATATGCACAGCACTAGCACAGTTCTGAATTCTAGCAGTGTATCACTCACAGGATCACCAAGTGTTCTGTGCGCAGTGGATTAAGGATACAGAGTTTCTGGTGGATTACATGAAGGAGCCTGCTGGGTGCACAGCCTCCCTCACAGTTATCAGCTGTTTGGAATGACAGCCTGCTTTCAGTCTGTTACTGGATGTCTGAGTTTCACCGAATGTATCCACTCAAAGATTCCAATTGCCTTAAAATCTCCCACTGCTTATCTAGTTTGAGAAGTCTCTGGATACAGAGACAGAAGTAATGTCAAAGTAAGACAGCCCTTAAAAAAATGGAGAAAACAATTATTTGTGTAATAAGCAAAGGAAACTCTCCTTTACCCTGGAAACAAAACAAACCCATGAAATCTGAGACAGAATATTTAGAAATCCAGATCTACCCATCTGCTACAGAGGAAGAACTGAAGGATTTGGCCACTTTGAAAGGTATAAACCTCCGAACACAAAAGTACTACAAATCTGCTGAAGAAAGAAAGACTAACCCAAATAAATGAACAGGACAATATAATACTAAATTAATATAATACTAAATTAACTTTATGTAATGCAAATCACTGATGCTGTAATTTCTAACTGCCATGAGTAATCTGTCAGGATTGAGTATCAACTACAGAGCATCCAAGAAATTGTCCAGGGATTTTTTTTTTCATGGACCTGCAACAGTCAACTAGGATAAAGGTAATATTAAAAGAAACTAAACATCTCACAAACATAAGCTATGCATAAGGAATGGCAAAACAGAATCAGCCAAAATATCTCTAGAATAGTCTAAGTTTCCAAAATTTATAACCACAAGGTGCATGCAAAAAGCACAATTAAGATATCAGGAAGAAAGTAAAGCAAAATCAATGACTTTGACTAGCAATTATGGCTGAAATCAACTAAATCAAAGTCACTGAAGTGTTAAAGACAAATTACCAAATCCCCTTACTGCCACTCATTATTTCAAAACATTGGCATCTCATTCAGTCTGCAAAGCACTGAGAAACAATTCTCAGTACATCTTCGTAACACTTGTACTTGCTGGGACAAAACAATAATAGAAATCTCCATTTCTTATTAACACACCTGTCACCATATAAGCTCTTCTGGTGGATACTATTTGAACCTAATACTAATGAGGTAAGCATTACATTTGTACGAGAATTGTTACAAAATGTCAAAATACTTGGAAAAAAGTACCTTTGGTATAATCAACAACAGCCTCCAGCGCTGCTATCCGGACATCGACGAAGTGCCCGTACTCTGCGTAGGACTTGAAGAGAGCAGGATCACTTGGGACATGACCATTCTTCTGAAGCACTCGAATAGCTTTTAAACAGCTAGAAACAGTAGAAGAATAAAAAACACATCAGCTTTATGGAATACCAGCCAAGAAAAATAAAATTACTTTCTTCCAAATCAAATCTTCCACTGCAAATCTTCTGAATTATGTTATCCGCATTAACATGTCTAATATGCTACAATTTCTTTCGCAGCATTAACATACAGCTCTTATTATCTCTGAATTAGGGAGAAACACAAACAAAATTTTCCACTCTGTCAAATCCATTGCTTGGTTTCAGTACAGCCATGATAACTTAGAGAAATCACAGCTCAGACGATGTTGCATGCCCTACAGTTACTGTTACAAGGCAAAACTTTCATAAATGCTCTTCTTAAAGAGGCATGGGATGACCAAATTATGACTGCTACTAAAGGTCTACATTGACAAAAATTAATGCTGAAAAGTAAAGCAATCAAGACAAACTTGCATTATCAGCTTTTGAAACTTGAAAGGAATTTGACATTTAAGATTAAGACTAAGCTAAAAAGCTAACTACAGAAAAAGCTAACTACAGAAAGTTACATAAAACTCAGAAAGGTACTACTATCTCAAAAGCTAACTTCAGAAAGGTACATAAAACCCAAGAAAAGCAGTGTCATTAAACCACACCTGACTGTGATAGTATGTCTGTAACTGGGAAGAAGCTTCTCCATATTCAGAAAACGTGTAATTTCCTCAAGAATAAGTCGTACATCAGGATTTAAGTTATCCAATGTTCGAACTTCATTGTTCACACTGACTGCAGGAGTCACAGAGTTGGCCAGGGCATCAATCAGCTCAGCACGGTAGTAGTTGTCTGAAAACTACATAAAACCAGTATTTAACAGAAGAAAATATAACAATATACATCCTTTCAAAGCTAAGAAATGCTTAAGCCCTGTTACAGAACATATCTTAAAATTAAGATCATGGGAAAAACTGCATAAGAAAGGAAAACAGGAAAAAAAAAAGGTTCTGAAATTCATACAAGTAACCCAGCCAGCAACTTCATTCACTTCTGAAGTGAACTAATAAGCTCACTTCTGCTTAGTGAAAAAAAATTGCACTTCTTCATCCACCCCTCTTACCTGGGCTCATAGTTTCACCCCTTCCATTATGCTGTCTTTTGCATCTGTTGATTGTGTTAGTAAGCAGCAAAACATACAAAAATAAAATTTACAAAAAGCAGAAAGAAGCACTGGATTTGAGTATTAGTCACTCAAGAAGGGACACGTGGAAAAGTGAAGCTGAGATGTCAGCACATGTCACCCCTTTCTGTAACTACTGATACTTGCATGCATGTGTCCAACTCTCTACCTCTCCCCACTAATCAAACTTATTTCAGTAACAAGCCGCACATGTCTGTTACTGGATGTGCTCTACACACAAGAAAAAATTAAGTTTTAGACACATTAGACTGGTTTCACTTCACTTTGGATACTTAATTGGGAAGATTATGCTAGGCTTCTAGCTATAGAGATAGAATTCTGTATCACTTCAGGATCTTGAAAGTCATTCAATCATCTTTCAGAAGTGGTCTGTTTGGGAAGGAACTTGGAGTGACAACATTTCCAACTCAGATGGTTCAGTTTAGTGATGGAACAACATAAACCCATGGTTCACCTGTTATTTAACCAGATGAAGACAATCCAGTTCTGTGAGCTAGAACTGATACTGAGAACACAGAATTCCAGAGTCCTGTATAGTGTTAAAAAAGATTATGTCCATTCCTTGCTCTTTCAAATACTCCTCTCAAGGTGAAATAAACAGCAAAAAAACAGTGCTGAACTTCTCATGCTACATTTTCTCCAAACACTTTGGTCTTTTGAAAGAAAAAGAGTAAAGCAAGAAAAGTATGTGTGCAAATGAAGACAAGTATTAACAACAAGCACACAGAGCTTTGAAACATCCAGGAAGTGCTGCCATAGAAATGTCAGCTACAGAATATTCTCTAACATTTACCACATCACCTTTTTATCAATTCTGAGCTAGGTACTTGAAGTAGTGGCATCAAACATCATGCAGTGTACTAACTAAAACTTTTTTCATCAGAAAAAATCAGTAAGAGATTAAAATAAACATTGTCTTTACCTTATTCTTCCTGTTATCGTTATACTTGATCAAATCCAAAATAAACATTAAAACCTCCTTAGGACAAAGGTTGTGAACATCTCTCAGAAGGGCCATGGCAACAGGCATAGTCTGTGTAATAGAATTAACTAATATCACTCTTTACATTATTAAAATGATAGTTGCATTCTGAAAAGAGGTACATCCTGAAAATCAGCAATCAACAAATTTACAATAGCAAGTGTCTGAAAAGATGTATTTACATAATTTTTGAAAGTCGGACCATGTACTGTATAATTTTGAGATAAAATATGTAGCTATTGCTCAGTAATTAGACACAATACAGACATTTTAAAAAAAAGTATACCCAAAAAACAGATTCTCAAGTCAAGACACTATCAAAAAGGTATCAAATGAAAAATAATGAGACACAGAAAATGATGATGGAACTTATTTTGAGATAGACACTGAATTTGAGTGTTTTCATGTGAACACAATGTCTAAGCTTCCACTTTCATTGAGACATACAGACCCAACAGGGTCAGTGAAGCCTGAAGAATTATTAGCCAGACAGCTGTTATTCTGATTAGGTATTTATTTTAGAATGAGCTAACCAGATCTCTAGGCTCCACTCAACATAGATTTAAGAATCTTATTCTAGACCTACAAACATGGCACACAGGATTAAAAATGGAGAAAAATGTAAGATTTAGTGGCAAAGAATGAACAATGACAAAAAAAGCAGAAAAATACAAAAAGAAGGTCCAAGAATAATATGAAGAATGAAACAGTTTTGGACAGAGTGAAAAAAACAAAATTTGAGTCTTCTACAAAATCAGTAATATGAAATCTATGAAATAAGAACTCAATCACCCAGTCAAGTGAATCTTGAGAGAAAAACATTGTCATTAACCTTGTTATCCAATGAACAACCAAAGGTTACAGTAAAAAAACCTGTGCTAACAACAAAATAAACAGTGGCAATATGTGATGTTGACAATAGAAAGAAGAGGATAAGAAGGATTATGTAAAGTCTTGAACTAAAAATGTCCACCAATTTAAGAGTTATAAGATTTCACTTGCAGTATGGTATAAGAGCTATTAAAGAATAAAGGTAGTTGCTGAATTCACCTAAAACATAAAATTAGTATCCTCCTTACAGTCCTATCTAAGAATGAGCTCACAAATAATTGCAAGTAATTATATAATAATATATAATTCTCCATTCTTCTGAAGAAACTGCTAATTTAACTTCAGGTAATCAGAAAAAAAATAGCTAAGAATTTGTTAATTAATTTTAATAAGATTGAACAAACTGAAGCCATATGAGAAAGAATCAGTTACTTTGATTTTTATTAAAGAGGAAATCAGATTTGTGCTATCCACATTCCAGTAACCCCCAATTGTAGGAACATTTTTGTATTTTTGACAATTCTTTCAAAACGTTCATTGAGAAAAACAAATTTTACCTTTTGAAGAAAGTAGCTCTGAAAGTTCATGAAGTTGTTGGTCTTCACAATGTTTGGACAAGTCTTACAACAAAACATTCGGGTAAAGAGTGACTTCATGGCTGGTGGTCCTGTCCACGTACTTACCATGGAATTTGCAATCTGAATAAGTAGGGGGAAGGGAAATCATATTAACATGACCACTGCAAGTTTAGTTTGGCTGTAAAAAAATACACATTTCCCATCATCAAAAAGGGTAATTGCCAAGAACATTCTCTCCTTTAAATAGATACTTACTTTCATGAGTGTATTATCTTATATTAGCTAAGTTTTCATTGTCATTCCCAATATATCTTATCTACATTAAAGGTAAGTTTTATGGAAATTGTTCCATTTGGAAGACATCTGCAACTAACTATCCTTCCATGATAAACTTCTGTTCTTAATTATTTTCTCTTTTATATATTTTAGATGAATATTCTGTGTTTACTAAGCCAAGTTCTCTGACTCTACGGAAGCCAGTGATGGAAGGGGATTTTGCAATACCAACTTCCCAAATTTACCCTGCCAGTAACCTCAGCCTAGACTACAAACAGGCCTCAGCCACCCTAAGAATAAAAGACCACCCCTAAAGTTAAAGACAAGGCAGCTCCCTCTAACTTTAATTGTCATTTATTGAAGACTGTGCACTGAGAACAACTTACTGCTATAGTCTGCTTTGGTGTAAGACAGTTAAGCTTCCACAAAGACAAAACTGCTTTTTGTGCCTTCCCAGCATCCTGGGTTTCATATATTTGCTATAAGAAGCAGAAAGCCTGCAGACCAGAACAACTGTGCCTGCTGATGGTTAATCTGCCTGATGTGTGTGTGCACACAAACAAACGGGACCAATGCACCCTACAATGCAGCAGGGATTCCCATTGTTACAGACCCACCACAAACTAAGGAAAAATCTGTTCTTACAAAGGAAAACCTGAATTTGATGATTTCCTTCTAAATTAGGTAGCTTGTTTCAAAGGCTATTACATATGCAGTAAGTGAAGAAAAAGCAAGAGGCTATCTGAACACGTACAGGAATCCACTTTACCATTGCTTTTGGAGAAGTGAAGTGCTTTATCACTAAAAACCATGTTTCCACCTAAGTCAGGCTTCAAAGGAAAGTTAAAGAGAGAAAATACTGCAATTGATCTTCCCCTTGCAGTAACTGAAGTGTTTAAAATAAAGATGCAGGTACAGCTTTTTCTAAAAGCTACAGTAACTCTTCCTGCAGAGGAAGATTAATCCCAAAGATTGCTTAGAAACCACGATAAAGAACTTAAAACTATAAATATTAAATTTATGTAGCAGTGTCCAGTAAAACTCAATCCCCAAAATATCCAAGTGTATTATGTGTACAAGATACTCACTATTCCATTAATATCAGGGTGTACATTTTTAAATATTAACTTCATATTGCAAGCATTTAATTTCACAAAGTAGTTAAACCATCATCTTTTCAGTATTTTTTTGGTCTTATCATGTGTTGTGACCCATTTGATTTTCTCTTTACTGACAGAATCTGATTTTTCTACTTAGTCTACTGAGACATTACACATTCTGAACTAAATGTAACTGCACATTCCCCATACAGTGGCACAAATTACCTTGTTGCATTATTTCTACTTAAAAAGGCAGGAGGTACACTCCATTTCTGCACCATTCAATTCAGTACAGCATAAAAATATTGACTAAGTTTAACTCTCATGCGCATCTATGAAACTCCTCAATGCTTGGGAGGGAGAAGTTTGTGATGGCAGTGTTCCTGTTGCAAAGTTTATAACACACCACCTACTTTGCAATGGATCTGAACTGGGAAATCAGCCTATGTACCCTCAGGAATTAAGATTGTGACATTATCTTCTCCTGTCTCTATTTGTTATTTGTCCTGAAGGACTCAGGAATGAGACTCTGTGTGTGTGCACACATGTTGACACATATCCTTAATTTATCAATGGGGATTTAATATGTCACCTGGATACTTCACTGCTGAAAGACTGAAGTCCTTTTTTACAATGAGGTATATACCAAGAAAGTACAGCAAATTCAGTTTGACAATTGCATTGTTACATATAATTTCTCTGTATCAACATGAGTACACTGAGAATATTTGGCAAAAGTAACTGCAACCCAGCTAGAAATTGCAAATAAACAAAAAAGAACCCTCATCCGGAATAATCAAGAGGGATTTCGATTTTTTCAACAAAGAATACAAATCCTGGATATTTACAACCTGAGAAAATTAAACTCAACAAAAACAGGAAGTTATTATTTTTAATGTCCTGATGTTGGAATCAGTAATAGAATGTATTACACTTTCCTCCCAGGTAACTTACATAAATATATCTACAACTTTGTTCTGCCATGCTCCTTCACCTTGATTTAATGTCACAGCCATACTTTTTGCTTGCCTTATCTTCTTTTCTGCAAGTCAACCATCTTATGCAGAGACCCAAGATTTTCCATACAATTACAACTAAACAAAACCAGCAATGATTGTCTGCAGCCCAACTGCCTAAGAAGTTAAAGATAGAAAAAACTATAGCATTTAAATGTTGCAACAACTGCTCTTTTAATATTTACCTGTGGAATATATACTATTAAATATTCCAAGTGAATTTGTTATATAAAGTGCATATTTTAAGTCAGATACTGGCAGCACCAATACTAGAACATACACTGGCAGTTTCATATCAGTGTTTCATAATATTAAAATGCTTTGTCAAAAACACTGCAATTTTGATTTTCAAAATATGGCTGAAGGCTTTATTTCTGTACAGGATCTAAATTATTCCCAACATGTACACAGCAGAAAACAAGCTATATGTCAATAATCTGAACTCTATAAATTGTCAATCAATATGTCTTCATGTGCATAAAGTCCCCAATACGCCATTTTAAAAATGCATGTTTTTCTGTGTCTCCACCCACTTGTTGTAAAATTAGGGTTTTACTAATTTTCATTCTTAATGCTAATTTAATGTGCAAGAAAAAAATTTTCTCCATTTTCAAGGCAATTATTTGGCTTTTTAATATTTAATTGTATACCAACTTCATGTTTATTTTGTGACCCTATTCAATCTGAAATGACATAGAGCAGCAATCTGAAGGTCAATTAGGAAAAGATGAATTTCAGCACTTCAGAATTCTCAATAGACTGGCCAAGGAACTTCCCACTAAAATAATAAAAAATATACTTTGGTTCTGAAAAAAAAATGAAACAAAAGTCTTTTATTTCTGCTACTTAATGAAATCTGGAAAAATCCCCTGTGGTTTTCATGTCTGACATCTCAATTTTGACAATTATGAAAGCCTTCTGCAGTCTCCATTTACAGACTAAAATAATACAACTTTCCTTTCAAATCAGTCATGTTAAAAATACTTGGCAAATCCATTTAAGAAGCTAAATCTCAAGCCAGTTTAGGAACTGTGATGAGTTTTGACCCATTTCCAGCCATTTACAAACTCTAGTGGATTTCCTCCCTTACTCCCATGCACACCTCACCTTTGCAAGGCAGAAGCAGGCCAGCATTCTGACCCGGTAGAAGCATTGCTCCTGCTCCAGGATGTCAGTCAGCGCAAGCCGGGATGCCGGAGTAGGGAACTTTTCCAGTGCCAGAATGGCTTCTTCTTGTGCCACCACATCTCTCTCATATCTCAGCTGATACTGCCACATGAAATCAGACTGTTCAAATTCCACCTTCCTCAGTACTGACATATCAGGATCTATTCTTATCCAGAGCAAGGGGGAATCAGCACTAAGACAGACATAAAAAACATTAACAGCTTACAAAACTTCAAGACTGTAGAAATTCTAAAGATATTCTAACTTGTCATGAGTTATTTGTAAACTATTTAAATTCAAAGAACCATAACAAAACACAGGTTAGAGAGAACTTTTGAAAGTCTCCTGCTCCAATCTCCTGCTTCTAGGATGGCAATTTGATAGCCTCCCAGAGCAATCTGTCCAAAGCTCTAATACATCAAAATGAATACAGTGGTTTAGTATTTTTAACCTACAGATCTTTGTATATGGTGAACTACTGTATGATCCCAGTATATTTAATTCTATTTGCTTGGATGCTACAATTTTCATAACTGATAAACACTTTATTACCTTCTAAAGGTTAAGACTACCAAAAGCAAATAATCCAAGAAAGAATATCTGGTGGTACACTTTTGTAAAATCAATAGATGTGAAACTCCTTTACAACCCCTCACACACTATGATGTTGAAAGCTGACAAGGGTAACCAAGAAAATTATTATAAAAATCAGGATTAAAGTTATCCCCCAGATAAAATGACTCAGTTGTATTTCATCCTAACATACATTTTATACTTTATTATTCACATGGCACTGTGACTGCAGAAGTGATTTATAGGAGCAACCAGCACAAATTATGCAATACATTTTCTTACTCATTCTTCCATATAAAAATCACAAAATCAAAATACCAACAAGGCATTAGGAGAGAGTTTGGACTGATGAAAAGAGCATAATTGTAAATATTATGTATATTTCTGTATATGTTTGTAGAAAATCCAGAATTCCTTCCAAGTTAGTAGCTAGAGAAGAAACAACAGTAAAAGAGTGTATACACAAGATTTAGAAAACAGAATGTGTATTATCCATCATACATGCTTGGAGCAGAGGAGCCCAAACTGGACAGCAGAATGACCACACCACAGATGAGGTTACCAGGTAAAATGCAAGTGTCTCATATAAAATCCTATCCCAGTTCAAAGGCCATTCTAAGATCACTGAAGTCTCAGCTCAGGGTAACGCAGCAGGGACCCCACCATAAATGATCAAAAAACAGTCACAAATATTTAGGGTAATTATCTCCAATACAATTAAACTATTTATATATCTACTGTCATATGGAAATTATAGCAATGACTTGCTCAATGTAAATAGGTCTTACAAATTTTTTTCTCACCATGTATTAGATGAGGTTAAATTTATGACAATCTGCAACACCTTCAAGATGACAAGCAAACTATCCTTCCTCAGAGAGACACCACTGGCTTTCAAGAGCAGATTATTTACTTCCCTCAGGCAGAAAACCAGGTGCCAACACCTCCCCTGTCTCTGAGGGTACTGCTGGCTCCAAGTCAAGGAGGGTAAGGCAGGTATTTACATTGAGCAACAATTTGCTTCCAAAGAGCTTAACAGTTCCAACTGAAATTAATGTCAGTGTGGATTTCAGTATGAAGCACTTCATCATTATTTTAATCTAGAGGAATTCTTTTGTAATTACAGATTTCGGGAACCTGTCTGTATTAGTGGCAGTTAAATGGTCTTCATCAAGATCCAATACAAATTGCTCTCACTTTGTTTCAAACAAATTCTTGTTTACATTTTACCTATGAAGTCAGCTGAAAGGCATCATCAGAAATGTGTTAGAGTCAAGTAATTTATTATTACCATATCATGCCCAAGATTTTTTATAAAATCTGATTATATTGGTTAACACATCCTTTTTACACTTCACCAGCATTTCCCCAGCTACAGCAGAAAAGTTTCAGCAAAGACAGAGAAATGTGGGATAGTCTTGAAAGTTGTCAGTCATATAATAAAGTACAACTTTATTATCCAATCTTCAAAACAGCATGCTTTAGACAAGGGAAGATGGCTCAGGCTCACACTGAGAAACTCCAACAAGCCAACTTACTCCATAGCAGAAAGATCCATGTCCACCTCTTCTCCATTCATCAGTGGAATCTTTTTCTTCTTATTTCTATTAAGAAAGAGAAAAAAAAAATATTACTTACCAGACTGGCAAATATATGCTTATAAATGAAGTTTAAAACTGCAAAAGTGCTCTGTGCGTTTCACCACACAAAAGCGTAATGCTCTCTCCAGCAAAAAATATTCACAAATTTGAGCTATGTATCAATTTCTATAATTTTACTCCCACTATTTTTACAATTACACATAAACATAGAAGTTTGAGAAGTAGAATTCAAAATAACTATTAAAATGCATTAGAAGATGGAGAGACTCTATGTGGGAAGTATGTCACTTTTCTTATTCCTTGGGTTTACCTAACAGCCCCAGCACTCTCTTCACTTGAGGCACTCCTCTGGCCTACATTTGTCTTCCCTCTAATTTGTGATTCCCATTCAAAAGCATTTTGAATAATTTGACTAATTAGAGTCGTCATTCAACTTATTCTACATAAATTAGGTCTTCATAAAACTTCTACAAAATGACTTATAATTATGAGCTGTGTAAGGCTTCTTGCTGTCCTTAAACAGTATGAAATTCTCCACTTACATCACAGGTTAATCTTATTTAGTAAAATTAAGAAGAAGCATATATTTATCATCAAATGCCCTGCATGTTTTCATAAATCCACAGAAAAAATACCTGCAGTTTGTGATTTAGCTCTTACCTTCTGCTTTTAGAATGGCAAGGTATATCATGCTTAAGACTGTTTTCTTCAATCTGCAATGTATGGTTGAATGAGCCATCAAGTTCTTGCACTGTCACTTTAAGAGGACCCTTCAAGTTCACAAGATTTTGTTATTAACATTAAACTTATGCTTATTAATGTACACACCACACTTGTACATGTAGGTAAAATATGGAAAATGGATCTTACCACATATTTCTGAGTCCCAGGAGATGTGTAATCTTGTTTTATTTCCAATTCCAATACATTCCGTTTTCTATTAAATGCAAAGCTACCATAAAATTTTACCACTCCACTCTGATCTCTAATAAGCAGTATAGGAATTCTAGTGCACAATGCAATAGTTATAAAAACCCATAATTCTCAATTCTTAATGCTTGCTTTATGCTTCTTTATTCCTAGAATTTCCCATTCCAAGAAAATTTGGAAATGAAATCACTCATGTTCATTCACGAAATTCTGGGGTGTTACATTCCTGAAATTTTTTTTCTTTAAATAGCTCTTTAATGTCCAGTCGTGTCTCTTACGGAGAAAAACCAAAATGAAATGAAAACTACCTAGTACGAAGAAATTAATTTGAAATGAAAAACTATTCTGGACTCCACCACATCCAATGTCCTTGGCATGCTCTCAGAAAAAGTAATTGTGTAAGACTTCAGTAATTTCAATATGGTTTTATTGTGTATTTTAGTTAAATAAAACTAAGGGGAAAATGTAGACATTAGTTTCTGTTTTCTACCCACACTACATTTAACTCATTATTTTATTGAAGTTTTCCAAACTGGGTCATGTGAGCATTCACATGTGTGTGTATATGAGTTCACACACACAGGAAAGTATACAATATGAATGATAAAAAGTAACAATCTCACTGTAAAATTTTGCCCAGGCAATGATTTCTTCAAGACAACTTTTCCTGTGAATAATTTCATCATTCATTTCTGTATCACAGCCATTACGACACTTGACTTGTAGTAAACTAAAACACTAAACTGAAGCATTTTAGTTTAATGCACACTCTCACAAGTCTCTGACAATATGAGCCAAAAGCAAAGGAGGAAAATCTGTTCTTTCATGTCCCAGCATTTAAGGGAAGAGCTTGCATATTCAAAAACACTTCTCGTACAGGGGTTATTAACTTTCCTCCCAAAATCTGGCCATTAGGCTAAGTACCTCAGACTGGTTCTGTTCATGGATGCTGCCTTCATGAAGCTCTGGGACTTTGTCATCAGGTACAGTTTAAGACATTTTTAGTGGTTTTCCAGCACAAGGTTTACACTCAGCATCAACACAGCCCTTGCTAATGGCATAAGACAACACTAGTTAGCAGCAGTAAGATTTCTTCCCAAACAACTTAAAGACCTTTCGTGATCTTACAAAGTGGGAAATCCATTGTCACAGGAATGCAGTGTTTGAAGCATGGTAGGGAGGTTGCAATCATAGGATTAAATACAAGTTATAGTTACCAGGATCAACCTTGGGGCCAAAGTATGGAGAATGTGAAAATAATCCCCAAATGTGTGAAGTACAATTCTTTCTTCCTTATGGAACAGATGTAGTTAAGATTCACCCAGCTCAGACAGTAATGCTGACATTTAGGTGTCACTGCAGTGTGAATACAGAACTCCTATTTTTCTCAAGTGCTTGGCACAGCAAGGTATGTAAATTAGAATAATGTGTATTTATACTTTATGAACACTTCTGATGCAAATAAAATACTAATCTCTCAAATTACTCTACAAATACTATTTATACAGTGCTTTTTAGTTAAGATATTGAGATGCATGAACATTGTTAAGTCAGCTCAAACAAATACCTTCTTGTGTTGTCTGTTACAACAGTAAGGTATGTTTTTGCTGCAGTCACGTACAATTCTAGCCTGGAGTCACATTAAATAAAACTAACAATGAAACATGTTAAATGGAGCCACTTCAAATTTCCCTCTGTATCCATTCAAAACAAGAAACCTTGACTAACAACAAGAACTTGACTAATATCACTTAAATTTGAAGAATCAGCACACAGAGGTATATTTTACCTGAAACTGTGCTATTAACACACCCTACCAAGCTATTAAAGTATATTGTAAACTAATAGTCTGTGCTTTAGGTTACTTATTTCATGGTGATTTACTGGAAATCACATACTAAAATGCACCAGACTATAGCATTTTCCATGTCCCAGTTCAGCATATTTCTATGGGCAGTGTCCTCTGGAATCCTTTTAGTATAATTTGGCCTTAAATTGCAGCAGAGTTCCTGTGCTTCTTTCAAAGGAAAACTTAAAATAATGAAATCCCTTTTAGTAAAGAACATGCAAAAAAGCCAGTATAGTTCAAAGGACTACGAAAAAATTGTGAACTTGTGGCTCACATATCTATCTAATTCACAGAATAAAGTACTTAACTGTTTTATGCAAAGATATTTCATAGCCTTCTTCACGTTCTTTTGATAGTGCCAATTAAAAAACCAAATTCATTTTCCATATTAATAATCCAGACCAAGAATATAAAGGATACACCCACTGCTTTATTAAAGGTTGGATGTCTTTGCCTGAGACATTTGAGATAGATTTCAAAAACCCAGATGTGGAAACCAACATCTGACTCCACATGTGTGACTGGAACTTCTGAGATGAAGCAGTACTGGCCAGACTCAACAACTTGTTGAAAACCTAAAATGATAAGAAGTTATTACTTTCCCTAAATATTTATATATGAAATAAGCTTTTCTGTTTAGTTTCTGTTGAATTGCAACTAAAGACCAATAAACCCACCTTCTGATAACTGGCTTTAAAAAAAAAAAAGTTTTCAAAATAAAGATTTTATGGGAAATTATTTGCTTGACCATATCAGAAATTTTCAGTCCAAATGTATGATCTTCCAAGTTACACATACATATGCACATACAAAATCCATTAAAAGATCATCAACTTTCAAAAATTATCTACAGTAAAAGAAATCACTGACTCTATCTTCTTTTTCAGAAATTAAACATTCATGAGATTCTCTGCAGTATTTTCAACCTGATCACCACCTAAAATTGCTCTAGCACAGTAACATATATTTTCCTTAAAAATAACCTCAAACCAAGGCAAAAACCCCCAATCCCCCAAAAACCTGAAGCTGATATGAAAACATCACTCATTTTTTAACTGTTTATTTGTAGCACCCTGTTCTTTATAAGGTATGTCACAAAAGATAATTAGTGAAGAAGAGAAACTGCAGTTCTGCAGAAGTTCAGTATTTCAAAATAAAATTACAATCTTCTATTCAAATGCTTCTTCTAATACAAGCATCTAAGTTTCATCTAGCACTGAAAACTTTATATAATGAGAGAGCTGGATCCTCATTATTTAAAATTTCATTATATTAGCTCACAGCAACACCAGTCAGGGACAGGAAAACAGGCTCTCAGTGTTAACAACAAATCAAAGTAACCCAAACCAATTAAACACCTTAAGATTAAAGAGAATATGCAGCATATAAAAAGTATTCTAAGTTATGCATGAGAATAACAGTTAACTTCATCCTAACACAAATGACCAAATGTTTGTGCAGTCCTGCTAAAATTGAAACTACAAATGGAATCCTATGATGAGCTGTTCTCTTCTTCTCTGAACACTATTTCATGAACAGAAATGCAACTGAAGGCAAGGAGTTTTTATATTCCACATAATCATCCAAATACCTACCTGTAACATGAACTCCATGCTAATTCTGTTCTCAATCAGTCTCATAACAAGATGTGCTTTACATTGGAACATAGTGTAATATTCCCAGGACAGTGTATGAGGGTGTTTGATAGAAAAATGTAAATGTGAAGCAGGGCTGAAAAAAAAAAATAAAAAAAACCATCTATTTAGCATTTTATTGAAACTTAAAATGTACCCCAGCAACCAAGCTCAGAGCTGCACCAACAATTATTTAGGTTTTCTTGTGCCGCCTTAGTTACAAACCATGGCACACTTAAAATGACCACTCACTTGTCCAGAGAGGTGACAAGGGTGTATGCACCTGGCATACAGCAAGTACTGCAGAGAGATTAATGGCATATGATAGCTGCTGTGTCGTGCTGTAGAGACAGTGGAAGCACCAGCACACTGAGCAGGGAACCTGTGACTGAGTCTGGAAATTACTCATCAATCAGCAGTCTTCCTGTTCCACTTCCATTTAAGAGTGACTGTATATAGTAAAACTTTTGTATTTAAATAAATAATTGTTGCAGTTCAAGAAAAGTAGGAGATTTACAATTCACAGAACACTTTCATGTGATGGGCCTAAGGAATTTGTTTCCTTTTATTTTAGTTAGCAACTTTATCTTTCAATATTTTGGCAAACTTGGTATCTTCTAAACCAGATAACATGCCAAAGAAGACTAGGCAGGTAATATGTAATCCTTGAGAAGAATAAGACTTTTTTGCCTCCTTTTAAGGAGACTCTTATTTGAGAAGAAGAAATCATTAATAGTCTGACTTCATTTTCTTGATGAACCAAGTCTGTGGCAACTGTATGTTGCTTTGCTATGTTTCTTCTTTTAGTATTTTTCACAGGACATCTGAGTTTTTCATGACTGAGTAACACACATCTGAAGAAACCAGGTTTGCTGAGGTTCACTAGCAAGTGCTCTAGAAATACAGTACCAGCACTTAGCTCCTTGTCTGCAGCCCTTAATATTTCAGATGGCAAGAACCAAGGTAGCTGCAATACCTTAATAACTTTTCCATCATTCTATTTACTGGGAGAACCCCTCGACTTTGCTCATGAGTATCTGTTCAAACATCTTAAGAAGATACAAAAAGAGTAGTGTGTCTAAATTTAAGCAAGTATTACCCTTCTTAGGTACAGTAATTTTGTGAAAAAAGAAGTACGTAGGTTAACTCCTTGTTTGTAGTTGATAAGCAGTTGCTGAAGTTCCCCTTATCACAATTCTCCTGTTATTCTGGATATTTCTCTGTACTGAGTTAGGGACGGATTAGCAACCATGAAAGAATTGAAATTCAAGGAGGAAACTGAGGTTGTGGCTCAGACGTTATATAACAGTTTGGTCTCAGAATAAGAACTATTTATCCAGCTTCAAATTATACAGTTGATTGACTTGTGTAAAATTCTTTTCTTGCAAATTACAACCAAGCCAGTACCCACAATCCCAAGATCCCTTTTTAAATTTACTAAGTATTGATTGATTTTGGTACTGGTTACATTATTTAACTGCAAAACAAACTTAGACAAGTTTGCATTTGACAGTTACATCTTGTAGTTCACTCAATATTAATAGATTTCTTCAGATTATATTTTCCTTCAATCACTATAATTCCACAGATTTTATTGAACTGCCACTAAAACAGTGTTAAAATTACCAGTATGGACCTAGAGCCTCTGTCGAAGTAGATAGTGAAGCAGATTTTCCACAGAACTTTATAATGCTCATGCTCCTGAACACAGTCCAGCCATTCATTATAACCTGGTTAGTAAGTTTCTTCCATACCAAATATAACTATATATATTTCTACAAGTTTTACATTTTTACAGTAGGGTGGTACCAGCACAATCAAAGGCTGAAGAGAACCACAGTCTGAGAGAGGAGGACATGAAATGAAAAGGTTACACACAAGGCTTTGCTCTGAAGCTTTCTTACACATGGCAGTTAATCTGCAGTTTTCTTTCCTTCATTTTCCCAGGCTCTGGGATTTTGTCTTTTAGAATAAGCACTCTGGAGTGCAGTGTTTGTGCTACACCAGACATAAACAGGAAGAATCTGAGACCTCTGTTTTGCACACAAATTAATTTGTGTGTCTGAAGGAAGCTGGGTCTTTGTTTTTTTTTTTTTTTCCCTTGATGACTTATTATGATATTTTACTTCTAATTTACCTGAAAAATGAGATTATAACACAAATTTTCTTCATATTATTAATTGGAACTGCTGTGCTGCAAATACATTTGCCAGGAAACTGCATCATAACAAGCAGAACAAAGAAATTAAATGCATAGAATATACTGGAGAAAAATGTTCTAGGCCCCATTATGAAAATACTTTTCTTTCTACAAATTATCTCTCAGAGTCAGGAACATATCCATAATTTACATACCAGGGAACTCTGCAATCTACAAAGAACAGCAAGTTTTAATTTATACTTAAGTGGTGCTGTGGTTATTATTAACAAGCTGTAATACAATGAAGTAGTAAAATAACTGTAGAAACAGTTTCCAACAATATATCACAGCAAGAAAACACACCTTTAAGAGCATTAGGACACAATTTTGTCAATTATTTGTGTCCAATTCTAGAATAAATATAGTGAAACTAGTAAAATTATCAGTTAAAAAGAGATTTTGATTTTAGTGAATTTCCTTCTTTAAAAATGTGCTGATCTCTAGTTTACTCTCATGTTATTACTGTGAATTTAGTGATTTTCATATTCATTCAGTTCTAAATCCCGAGTTTTAACTTTAAATGAACAAAATCTGGATTCACACACAATCAAATGCAAAAGAACCACTGTTATAGGCAATTTTGGTTGTATTTTCATAAGACAGGGGCTTCTGCTGCAGTAAAGAACAGAAGTTGATGTAGTAGTCTACCTGCACAAGCTCAACCTTGAAGTTGTCCACATGCTGCTTGTGTGTTTCCAAAAAGCAACCCCTTGTGAGGCTGTGTTATATGGAGATCAATTTATGCAAGAAAAGAAAAACCCAGCAAAAGCTTGTCACTGAAACCCACATCAACTTATTGATCTGACATGCAGCAGTATTTTTCCACCTCCAGTGTTTAGTACTTCTCAGTGGGTAGTACTGGTGTATTACAAGAGAGGGGAGGGTAAAATTATTGGGAAAATAAAAACCCAGCCAGTTCACACCAGTAACTAACAGTACTTCTCAGATGACTGATCTAATAATTTTCTACCCCCAATATACTACGAAATCTCAGTCTAAGACTACAAGGTGGTATATGAGAGCAGAAAGAAAAACGAGCAAAGGTACAGAAAGCTGATGATACAATTAAAAAGCCTGAAAATCACTACCCACTCCAGAAATAGCTCACATCAAAATTCTGGCTCTATGTTCTCTCCTATCCTCTTACTAAAAAGCAGTTTCGTAACAGCATTAAAAACATTCATTATACTTCATTTCCTTTGAGATTCAAATTGAAAGGAAAAAACCCAACAGGTATTACAATATACTCAAGATGTACTTTATGTGACTGGTAATACATGCCTTGGGCAGCTCGAGATCTTCAGTCTTTGGCCCTGTGCTACACAACACACCCAAGGCATATATTAATGGCCCCATAAAAACATACCCTGCAATGACTTGCAGCTTAAATAAACATACTTGTCTTTCTCTTTTCCTCCTCCGAATATTGGATGCAGTAAAACTCCTCCAGTCTTCAGTTCGTATGCCACGATTTGATCTAGCTCCTAAGAACAAAATACATAAGTAAGCATAATTTTGAAGAGTAGAGAAATTATTTAAAGAACACAGAAAAGCTTTCAATATTGTTCAAGTCATACCTCCTAATAAGCTTGTTTACAAAGGGAGAAATATTTTAAAATCAGGGATTTTCCTCAAATGACAAACAGTAATAAAACAGTAGAAATTAGTAGTTCATACTTGTTCAGGGGCTGAACGAGGGGCTAATGCCCAACAGTGCTGAACTACATTATAACCAGAGTATTATTATTCAATAAATAAATTGTCTTTGACCAAAAGATAAAAAAATAAATAAATATTTATGTCTAGCCCAAGCTCTGCACTGGGTCTGAACTTGTGTGATGCCAGGTTAAAAAGCACACTCTAAGGCAGGATGTTTGTAAGGGCTCACTGTCACCCAAAAGTCAACATGAATCAAATTGTGTCAGCTTAAGCACAGGAAATGGAAACTGATGCCTGTCTGCAACACATTGTTACAGAATTTTCAAGTGTTTATATGTATTGAGATTTGTTGATACATATCAACTTGCACGCTTTCATATGTTGGTAATACACTAGAAAAAGGACAGAACTGGAGCCTGTGACAGTAGCACCTCTCAATTCTATGTGGACACCTTTAGTTTAGTGTGGACAGATGGGGAACAACATGAGCAACTTCTGCTGCAGACAGCAGTGAACTCTTCCAACAGACTGCCACCCAGTTCTGCTGTTCTCTGCAGCACCCACACCTTCAGCACAGACAACACCAGACTGGTGAACTGAATGAGCATTAGGCAGAGAAGGAAGTGGTACTGGGTCCCCAGGTGAGTGAGGGATGTAAATGGAGCAAATGAAGTTAGGATTTACTTTTTGGAATAGGGGGAGTACGAGAACATGATGAGAGAAATATATGCATGAGAAGATACATATCTTTTTGTGAATAAATATTACTTGCAAGAATGAGGAGTCATTGCTGCTACCACTACAAAGTACCTGTCTCAAAGATTACATTTGGAAACGTAAGCTATAGACAGAAATCTGTTTTCCAAGAAAAGAAATCACTTCAAACAGGGATTTTTTTACTGTTTCATTATTTCATTTAGTACTTCAATGATACTAAAAGATACCTGAACCACCACTGATCCAAGCTAATACTGGAGCCTTTCTGAGCTATATGGATAGCCATCACAGCATAAGAAAATCACCAAATACAAATTCTTATGAATCCTATACTCTATTCTAAGTATTCAAAAAGCAGTATAATTTTTGGACTTGTTTTTTGGTTCAGGAGCCCAAACAAAAAGAGGAAAACTAATTGCATGGAGAGACAACAACAATTATTATTCATTATTCATATGGCAGTCACAAAAATCTCTTTTGGTTTGTATGCTTCGTGTTCTTCCTTGCAGCAAGTGGTAAAAATATTTTAGCTCTGAGGTTTGTCACTACTAAAAAGGTCTAGGTTGCAATGCAAAGGTATATTATATTCAGGTTTTATATTGTATTTGATGCAAAATGTCTGAAAGGTATAAAAAATGCTACGATGTTACCTGTTTAATCCAGTGGCGATACTCATTAACACCAAAGGTCTTTTTCATCCAAAGCCCGTAAATGTAACCAGAGATTCCCTTTAGCACCCATTCATCTGACCTATTATAAGAAAGAAACATGAATTAAATCACTTCAGAGGAAATTTTGTAAGGGATAGTATTTTTGACCAGCTCAAAAATAGCCACAAATTTCAAGAGCTTGTATAACTTCTCTAAGTCAACAAAAGTCTGATGAGCTGTGAACCAATTTATGAAACTTGGCACCTGGACAGAACCAATGAAACTGAAAAGTCAGTGAAAACTGAACTTTTACCACAGAAATCCAGATTAAAATACAAAACCTATTTTAGCTGAAACAATAATAATACACAGGTGAAAATGGACACTAAAGTTAAAGCAACTGCTAATCGATATGATCTTAATTTCTTGATACACAACTCAATGAAGTGCAGAAGACCTGGACAGCAAGTAGATGAAATACCTATTTCACAATTTGGTGGACAGCCTTTTAAACACACCTTCTGTAAGTTATGTTCTAAGAGAGAAAAAACAGACAAAAACTAAAACATGATCATGAACTCGAACCTTAAACAGAAAAATGACATTGTACACAGAATATGATGAAGTAAATATCAAGAACACATGAACATGGAGTCATTATGAAGAGTGCAAAAAACTGCCTTCATCACAGAAGTAGGCTAGAAATAAAGAATAAAGCCACGGAAATTACAACAGTACAAACATCAATTTAAGAACATGTTGATTTCCCTTGTTTTTAAGACAAGTATGCCCTGGGACATAGACTTTTGCCATTAAAAAAAGTAATGGGTAACTTGTCCCCAGTAAATAAAGTGTATGCAAAAGAATTTAAGAAAAATATTGATCAGAATTGCAGGAGCTATTTGGGGAGGTGTTTTCTGAGACATGGAGTTATAGCCACCTTAGCAGGAATTTTCCTATTTGACACTAATCTGCAGGAGCCATTTGGGGAGGTGTTTTCCATGGAGACATGGAGTTATAGCCACCTTAGCAGGAATTTTCCTATTTGACACTAATTTCTGCATTCTCCCCCCTGAAAAAACTTAAATTTTTTAGTTCTGTGCTCTACAAGTACTTTTCATGCACTCTATACTTCATCATCCAAATATCTAACAGAAATTGACTGATAATGCAAAAGAATTAGCTTTCTAAAATTTTCAGATGCCAAAGCACACTATAACATTCAGGAAGATATATTCAATCTATACAATCTTTGGAACTTTTATCTCTCACATTCTCCTTTCAAAACAACAAAAAATACTAATGGATTTTAATTTATTGAGCTTATTATTCTTACATTTTTCCCCATTTTTGCTTTTTTCTACAATTACTGTTTTACTTATTTTTCCTATAAAACGCAATTTTGCAAATTAAAATTTGAGCTTCCTAGATCCTCCCAATTTATGGTAAAATACTTACCAGGACATTCTGGATATGAAACATCCAAAGAATTGCTGGGCCAGGGCCTGTGCCAAGCATCTCCTTGTCAGTGGAGTTTCATCTATAATCATTGCACTGTGCAAGAGATTTGTGCTGGACCACCAAAGAAAGAAAAGAACACAACATGAGCACTGGCTCCAAAGAAACAGAAGAGACCCCGCCTTAAAATCCAAAACAAGTAAAATAATTTCTTCACTGTTTTTTTCAGTGAGGTAGTAACATCTTTTTTAATTTTTAATAATCTTAATGCAGGTAGATCTCCTGCTATTATCATCCATACACAACTCTCTGTACAGAGTTTAAGTAGTTTAACTGGTGACACTCTCCTTGATTCCTGATACCTTATTCCAGCCGGAGGAAAATAAAATACAATCAAACTTCTGCACTTAATTTGAGATTAAATACTTCATGCATGGCATTTCTAATTCAGAAGGAAAATCACTGCCATTTTTTTCTTAAAGTAAATCTAACATCTTTATAACAGATAAAACTGGAAATGGTGTTAAAAGCCTGTAATGTCAATAAAAACAAGCCTTTTCAAACTAGAAAGCCCAACACTCAGGCTACAAAAATAACTACAGTTTCACACATTTCTTAACAGTCTTGGATCTAGAGCTTCTAGGCCTGTGGATTTAGAAGGAGCAATTTTCTCAAATACTAACCTGAAAATACTCATGGATGCATAAGCAGCTACTTCAACATAAGCTTCATCTATAAAAACAGTTTTGAAACAGGAGTAAGGATAGCGGCAGGTAAGAATCTCCTCATAAAATTCAAACACCTCATGAAGGTATGACGTGGTATGTTTGAGCAGTGGGAGAAGTTGTGGTAAGCAAAAGTGAGTCACCTACAAACAAAGGAAAATTTATTTTTATTATTTTAAAAATTTTATATTTTTTTAATTAAAAACAAGACCTACAAATATATTTAAATACATAAATATCAAGTATATTATATATCTCAGGGAAGAAACCCAATTTCAACTAAATCTGCCCCATAAACTAAGACATAAATGGAATTGCTGCTTATTTAAAGGCATTTGTTTTTGGAGATAAATTTAAATACAGGCATTAGTAGACAAGCTTTATCATATGACTGTACTGAAGAAGATTGATCTAGAAATACCCATTATTGGACTAATATATACTGACTGCAACATGAAACACCAGTAATTCTTTAGGAAAAAAAAGGAAACTGCTATGATGAAGATTATTACCTCATGCATGTATGGATCAACAAGAATTTCAAAAGGTCCAATTGCCAAGGAGATGTTAGAAGCTGCAGTTGGAATAGTCAACATGTAATGAAAAGTCTTCTTTCTCATATCATGGGTGTAAACAGTTTCCACCAAATCTCCATTTGAAACAGCAACCATTGCAGCATCTACAGTATACTCAAGTTTCCAGGTACACAACTCAGAGTATGAATCCACACAAGGAAACCAAAATCTAGAAAAGTTAGGATTAGGGGGAAAATAGTTAACAATTATACTTAATAATTATACTCCTTTTCACAGGTGATTTTTCTTTCAAGTTTCAAACTATATCCCTAAATACTTTAATAATATGTGAATGTTGACATACTGACTTCTACAATACATTAACTTTATAATGCTTTACAAGCTTTTTTTGTCTTTACCTCCTGCTAAGCTATAAAAACTAGACATTCTAATTACCAGTCATTAGATGCTACTTCACATTGGTAAGCTCAAGCACAAATTAAGTTTTACAATTTTTTAAACTTCAAATAATTCAAATAAATTATTTGTATTTCCTACACTTTGAGACTAAATAGGAAATACAAATCTAAAATTCAGTTAGATCTAACAGACAGTTTTCTTACCTTGTAGAATTTTGATAACCACATGAAAAGACATGAGCCCCTCTTTCAGCCATGTTGCCCTCCATGTTGGGTACCACAAAATGAAGGCCTCCTTTTGGCTGGTCCAGAGAAAAGTTTATATGCACCTTCAGGACTTTTAACTCTGCCACACAAAGACCGAAACTGGAGTAAATATACAACTTACATGAAGGTTATTGTAGAATAGTAACTCAGTTCTGGACTCTAGGTCTTTGAAGACTATGTGGTAACTTCATTCTCATGGACTTCCCAGTCCACTTACAAAGTACATCTCAAAGCTTACAAAACTGAGGCCTCCCTAAGCACAACTTACAGGAGACGAATTTACAAGAACCTTTATTAATTAATAAAAACTGCAATTGGAGTCACATTTCATCTTCTAATTCCCCAACAGTAAAACATATTTATACAGACTGTATCCTAAACATGATCTCCTTAGCACCTTGCTGAAAAAATTTTCTCCAAAAACTCTATGAAGCAGGCACATTCTTAAAAGACATACTGTTGATGTTTGCAGTTGCTTAAAATCTCTTACTATAGTTAATACTTTTCCTGTAACTTAAGTGTCTTCACTTTGGTTATGTTTCACAGAAATCTCACCTATGAATAGATTGGCAAGAAAATAAATTCAAGCATATGCTGATATTTAATCCTCAAGTGTCACCACATTTTTGCACTCAAACGTTGAAAAGTGAAATTATACATGTTAGGGTATTTTCCCTTCTAGACTTGCATGTAAGGCAACAGGAACTTACACAAAAATTAAAATAAACAAAAGTGTTTTTCTTAAGGTGCATCTGTCAATATTGCATGAGTCAGCTTCATGATACAGTTGTTATTATTCTCTCAGAGGTCTCATAAATCCATGGGAAAAACCAATACAACCATGCAAGATATAATACAAGAAACTAGTAAGATCTCTGTAAGAAAATAATCAACACTGGAGACTAACTTATTAAAACAGTTACTTATTCCAGGATGCCAGCTTATAAAGGAGTCTACTTTCACTACCAAATCAATTTTAAAATGACCATTCCTCAAAGTGAGGAATAAAATTAGTAGAGCTTTGTAAAGAGATGTAAATAACTATATCCTTGTAAATTATTTTTTTGTTGGATCATATATATATTGTAAGCAGCTTCAAAATTACAATTTATCCCCAATATACTTTTTTATTCCCACTTCCCCAAGTATTCTCCTGGGGTCATGACCACCCAAGAGTATGTTTGTATATAGTGTCAAGAAGCCTTGCAACACTCCTCCCTATTACCAAAAAGTGCAAGTATTTTTCAGAATTCAAGTGAAGAGGAAAAAGGAAACAGTAATCATAAATTCATAACATAATGTAACACTACTTCTATTTCTTCAAAGCTACTATCTTCCTAAACAAACTGATAGCTGACAACTGTGACATCTTAAATTAATTCTTCAGTATGGTCTCTTTACCATCAACATGTTTCCACAGCTCCGAGGGAACCTTAATGCAGAGCTCTCCGTTTCCAGCATCTGGGTCCACAGCACTGACAGCGGCAGCATAGGCATTGGAGAAATAGTTGAGATTCCTCCTGTCAGAAATAGCCAGTTAATTCTTAAAGAACAGTTGTGCTGAACCACAAAAAACAACTTTGGAAGTTAAGACAATTTCTAAATTGAATTTCAAGGTGCATGGACAACCAAGTGTTTTGTTTTGTTTTTAAAGGAGTGGCAGAGAAAAGCAGTAAAGATTAGATTTCAACAGCCAGAACTTAAAACATGGCTCTTGCAGAAGTGATCTATGATCAAAAAGACTTAAACAGTAATAACTCCCAATAAATTGAGAAATGCTCAGTGTTCTTTTCTTGCCAGTAAGAATAATAACTACATTTATTGGAATAGAAATTAAAATTTAAATAATAATTAAAATAGAAAATAAAAATTAAAAAATTTATTTTGGATGAAGTTTGTATCTTTATTCTAAAGTTCTGTTTTGAAGACCTGCTTCCTCATATATTGCAGTTTTACTCTTATTTTGCTTTTCTAAATGTAAAATTTTAGCTTGGCAATGGAATCTTTCCCCTTTAGCTTGATGGACAGAAATAGGGGTTTTTCAATGCATTTGTATATAACACATAAAATATTATATGTTAAGAGTTTTGGTCTGAATACACAAACACAGAAACATGTGCTATACTTTTTAGTTTCTACTTATATTTGAAACATTCTTCTTCTTTAAAGCGTACCATTATTTATTTAAGATGCAAACACAGTTTTTGTAATCATTTTTGAGCAACTATGTATCAGTGTGGATTCCTTTGAACCCCCCGGGGAAATCCCCAGGGCCTCACCCTGGAAGAATACACCTTAGAGTCCCCACCTAGGCTGAAAGAGAAGACTTCCCCGCAGAGCCTCACAGCACTGATCTACCCCAATTTTCATTCCCCATGCGTTCCTAATTCTTTTGGTTTCTCCCTTCCCTGTTTCCTCATTGGTTGTGGTATCCCTAGTGGCCAGCCCTGTCTTCCTGTAGGGCAATACCCTTTGTCCTACCCTTTGTACCACCCCTGTGCCCTCAGACCATTGGCCCTACTTACCTTGTGCACAGCACGTGGCTTGGTCTTTTTTCCCTGATTTCCCCTCTGGTGTGCAGGAATAAACCTTGGCTGTAATTTAGCATACGAAAGGCCCTTCTGCCTCTGTTCACTGAGCTAGCTGTGGTGAGTGTGGTGTGTGGACTTGACTGCTTTGCCTGAATGCTTACCCAAGCTGCTTTTCCACAGGAGATGCTTACTGGGAAATAGGTAGCAGCATCCACCATCTAAACCCCACACTGCTACATATCCGCTTGCTCATTAACTGCTCACTTCAATACAAAGTCAGATCATTACCTCAGTTATGACTTAGATTAACTGCTTTCTACTGAAATGAGCAGGAACAAGCATATGTCTTCTGTTAAAGAACTTATGAGCAGGACATTACCTTTTTACTTAATGTGATTATATTTACTGGAGTACGATCAGTCAAGTTCAAAAATAACCCAGAATTTACAGCTTTATGCAATAGCTTTTACACTTTTTCAAAATGGATTTCTAAACATGTTTAAAGCATGGGAGCAAAATCTTTCTTAATTCTAATTCTCCAGTACATGCAGTTTTTCAAAAGCTTGCACAACTCTGTACCTGAAGAGAAAGTGTTTGACTAACTTATCACCTTTTCCACAGAATTTAGGTACTGCTGATGAATCCAAGCACAAGCAGGACACAATCAAGCACAAAGCAGTCGTGGAATCACAGAGCCACAGAACACTCTGGGTTGGAAGGGACCTCTCAAGGTATCTAGTCCAACTTTCCTAGGGGAGGACAGGGACATCTTGCACTAGATGAGGTAGCTCAGAGTCCTGTCCAACCAGACCTTCAGTGTTTCCAGGGATGGGGCATGTACCACCTCCCTGGGAAACGAGTCCCAGGGTTTCACTGCCCTGACAGTAAGAGAGTTCTTCCTTGCACCTGGTCTAAACTTGCCTTCTTTTAGTTTAAAACCATTACCCTTTGTCCTACTGTAACAAGCCCTACTAAAAAGTCTGCCCCATCCTTCTTATAAAGTCCCCTCTAAGTATTGAAAGGTTGCAGTAAGATCTCCATGGAGCTGTTATCTTCTCCAGGCTGAACAACCCCAACTCTCTCAACCTTTCCCCACAGACAGGTGCTCCATCCCTCTTACCATCCTGGTGGCCTCCTCTGGATCTGCTCCAACAGCTCCATGATCTTCTGTGCTGAGGGCCTCAGAGCTGGGTGCTGCACTGGTCTCACCAGAGTGGAGCAGAGGGGCAGAATCCCCTCCCCTGCCCAGCTGGTGATATAGCCCAGGACACTGCTGGCTTTTTGGGGTGCAAATGCACACTGCCAGCTCATGATGAGCCTCTCATCCATCAGCACCCTGAAGTCTTTCTCTGCAGGGCTGCCTGCAATCCCTTCATTCCCCAGCCTGTACTGATACAGGGGGTTGTCCTGACCCAGGTGCAGGATTACTGCACCACAATGGAGTAAATTACCTTTTGGCTGGGGACTCCATCTTCCATGGAATCTAAAGTCTACACAAAGCAGACATGATCTCATTTCAGGATTTTGCTCTCATCTAATCATTCTCTAGTCACCATCCCCGGAGAAAACAATCCAAATTACAGAACCTTACTTGGAAGAACAAAGTGTAATTAACCTTGCCATCAGCAGCATTCTGTAAGTCTAGGTATGTCAAACACCCTGCTTAATATTCCAAGTCCTCCACAACTATAAAAAATTTTGCTAAAACACTGAAATATATTTGAGAACATATTTTCATGTAGTTCTTCATCTTTGGCAATAACACAAATTCCCTGGCACCACTACCAAGGCTGAGAATGTCAGGAGCAGTAAACTTTTCTACTTTGCTTGAAAGCTTCTGAATAGTAAATGGGACCATTTCAGTAGAGAAACTCACAAGCCCTGAGTTTAAACATATTTCTTTTCCTTTTTCACCCTTAACTGTACCTAAAGGTAGGATGTAATGCCAACAAGTTTTAAAAGGAAAAGGTTGAGTTTGTACCCTGGAATATAGTATAACTTCAGGTATGGCTCCAGAACAATTCCAACCCACTTAAACTCCAGCTGATGTGCTGTCTCCTAGTCTCACTCACGCACCACTGCTAGCTCACCCACTAAGGAGATTACTGTTCATCTGAACCTGTAGGGACACAGCTGAAAGTGTCAAATGGGAAAGTAAGTCATTTTTTTATTAATCAGGCAGCTTTTAGTTGGTTTACTTCCTTGATCTGTCATATTGAGAGGTCAAAGAACCTCCCTAAGCAAAGTTGCTTTAAGCTGTCCTTCAAATGGCACCCTAGAAAGGCAAACAAATACCAGTGGGAAAACTCAATTTAAAAAGAGTCTGCATAACTAAGAACTATTAGTAATAAATAAATAAAAAAAAGCTAGCAAAATAAAACCACAGTAACATTCTGTTAGACTGCTTTTAACTTTACTCCAAACTGTTTCTGAAAATTGACTATTATTGACAGGGATCCCTTTCCTACACAGTGAGATTTTGTTCAAACTTTGAGGCTTGTGATGAGCTTGTGGCTACACTTTAAACGTCACTGGGTTCACAGACAGGAAAAGGTTATGATTTTACAGCAAAGTAGGGAGACTCCAGAGCTCAACATTTTATGAAAAACACATCTATTCCTTATATTTCTATTTTTATGAAGTGTTACAGTTCAAATGGGTGATTCATTGTAAAAGGAACCCATTAAAGGCGTAGTACCACAGATTAATCTTTTCATAGATTGAACTATTCTCAATAAACTGCATATGGCCATTTTCAGAAAAGCAGAGCACGTGCCAGAAGTTACAGTCCAAGGAACAATGATAAATTTTCCTAATGCTAAGTGCAGATTGACAATGGGAAACAAATATGTATCCATGGTCTTTTCTCAGCAGAGATACATTCTGCTATCAGCATTCACCCCAAACACTGTTAATTACAGCCCAAGCACATGCAGCTTGAGTGACTGTAAAGAAGCAATACTACAGAGATTTATTTTTTAATATTACTAATTGATTTCAAACTTTCCATAGCATTTCACATTAGTAGCTGCACCAGTGCTACAAATGTATGTGCCAAACATATAGTCTATAAACCACTGTTTTCCTACAGTACTTAACATCAACTTGGCAAAGTAAGTTATTTGCTCTGCCTGTAATTCATTACTCTTCATAACCAGCAATTCAATTACTATTTTACTTTGCTTTCCATATAGAATAAGCACTTGATATTGGAGTACATACATGATATACCATTTAATACATTCAAATATAGGTGATTTATTAATAGGGCAATGATTTCAACCTTTGTCAAGCTGAAAAACCAAAATTTTCATTCCTGGTCAAATTTAAGGGCTTTGTCATCTCTTTTCAAAAGTACTCTGCACCTTTGTGTTGTGGTCTAGGAATTCTCCTATTTAGTGTTTCCATTGAAACTACTTCAAACCACATGCCACTCTGTCTCTCCACCCTGCCCCTGTGGTGGGCTGCAGAGGAGAACTGGGGCCACAAAAGGTAAAGATTATGGATTGACATAAGAACAATTCACCAGACAGCAATGAAACGACAACAAACAGTAACAGCAACAATACCAATGACAATGTGTATGAGAAAAGAGGTGAATGATTCATGTGGTATTGCTCACCCCAGATAACTCATGAAAACACCTGACCCCTCTGCCATGCTATGGGATCTGGAAGCAAGCCTTTTTCCGATCCCTGGAAAATGAGTCAAGAATAGAATAGAATAATCTCCAGGTCTTAGCCTTTCCCTGCTCTTGACTACTGCAAAAATGAACCCTGTCCTGGCCAAGACATTTTGTTTATTTCTAACAATGTCTATAACGAATTTCAATTAGACAAGCATTGTATCAGTGTAAATAAAGGCTATTTATTACAGCAAGGCAACACATGCTCAGTCCACCAGAATTTTTTCTATTTTGTACTAAGTCTAAAGGCTTGATCTTTGACTTCCCAGAACAAAAAATACTGCAAGACAGACATGCCCTGAAGGCTACCACATTGCTCTCTCTCACAGCTTACTGCTGCTTGTAACTAAAGCAACAGTGAAGTCAGAGGATATCAGAACATCTCCATATTTGTAATATTTAAATACTACAGGCTTCAAGCTAAAAAAAAGACAAATGAAGCAGCACTACACATGAAAGCATTATGTTCACATTAGCTAGCTAAACAAAAACATAGCTTCCTTTACACAATAGTAACAGTAAAATGCAACAGCTTCTCAGCCTGGCATCCTAATTATACACAAATGTGAAGCACAACAGGATCATCACAAACTTCATTTATCACAGATCAAACCACGGCACCCAAACTTTTGCTGCACCTATTTAACAGTTTACAATCTCAACCATAAGATTAAGAAAAAAAAATCTTCTTTGCCAGTTTTAAATAAATAGGGTTGAGATACAAACAGTTGTCTCAGTATTCAGAATATGCACTGAGATCTCTACAGAGAATATAGGCGTATAGCCCAGAAAAAGCAAGCTCATTTCTCTTATACTGACAGAATTGAAAAACAACAATTTACAAGAAAAAGAAAGATGAGGAGCATAGACAACTGTAACACCCAAAAACAGCAGCCCCAAAACATGACCCAAAATAGACACTCTCCAACACTATATGCAGTCTCCACAAGGTTTGAAACTCTTCTCAAAAGCACGAGCAAAATGGGATTCTCTGCCACCTTGTGTACACAGAGTAAAGCACTGTGAATTATTTCATATCTTACACCCCTGTTCAGGTGTTTGCTCAGTCAGGAAGGAAGTGACTGCTTTATCTAAGTTCATCCATCTATTCTGGTATGAAAATGGCATCAAAGCTAAAAATATATTTAATGTGCTAATTAAATAATCTAACCTTTCCTACAAATTTAATGTATTTTTAATTACCTTTTTAGTAAGAGTTATTCTGACATTCAGGGGAACTGAAAAAATACATGACTGAAAAAAGTGTTTCACCTTCTTCAACACTGAAAATGTGAAATGACAGAGACCACGTGTCAATGACATTTTTCCTCAAAGATGCTAAAACCCAATAGTACTATTGCAACTGAAAACAAGTTGAATATTTCAATTCAGAATACAAAGAGGTGATCTCACAGATCTCACCAAGAAGTAGCAAAGAACATCATAGTGAAGCAGACAGAATTGTGTCACACATAAAGCTGAATTTCTCAACCCTCTTTTAACTGTTTTCTTGCATGCCAAAATTTGTACAACATAACAGTGAACCACTGCTCTTAACCTCCTATCAGCAAACATAACCTTTCAAGTCAGAGATGCTGTAGCAAGTTTTCTAATCTTTACTCCATACAGAGTTTTCCATTTTAAAAAGAATTCTGTTGCTAACAAGAGAGTAAGAAGTCTTCAGATTACTTGAACTTTGATAAAAAGGTAGGAAAGCGTCCATTAAATTAACAACTTTTCTAACTTACGCCCCAGATAAGCTACTTAGAAAAAATTTCTTTGCAAAAAAGACTGTAAAGGTTGGAACAGACTGCCCAGGGAAGTGGTGGAGTTAACATTCCTGAAAGTGTTCAAAAAAATTGTGGACATGGCACCTGAAGACCCGATTTAATGGTCATGGTGGTTCTGGGTTGACTTATGATGGTGACTTGGACTTATGATGATGACCTTATGGGTCTTATCCAATTTCAATGCTTCTATGATTTTAAGTCTTCTTTTAGTAAACAACATCTAAGAAACTAAAAGCATTATCAAAACAAAAGAAAATGTTTGTATATACAATCTTACAACCTGAACTTATACTTGTTACACAGCACAGGGAAAACTAAAGATTGAAAACAAAATATTTATATAGGTTGCCAAGAACCATTTTAATTTCCCATTTACTACTTCAACAGACTACTTAAGAAAACTGTGCAAAAGGTGATGACCTCTGTAAGATCAGAAACAAACCATCATGTCTAATCTGTGTCCTGCTCAAAATAATTGCTGCAGCTAGTTCAGCTGCAAGGGTACAAAGGACATCATCACTAAACTTGCCATAACAAATGAGAACTTGGAAGAAATGACCAGGTATTACAGCAGTATGATTAGATATAAAGACTGAAGACTACTGTCACAAACCACTGTTTCTAGAAGCAGTTCTTTGTAAAGAAGGGCAGAGAAAACACACTGATGATTTTTTTGAGGTACTAATTCTAGAGTTTTTAGATTTCTAGTAATTCTGCTTGCAATCCTGCCTAAAGAGCAGAGATGCTGTATTTAACTACACAATTATGACCAGGTTTTTCAATGGAAAAATACAGCTAACTTCATCCAACATTTTGTAACTCACATTGCCTTTAACTTCTGAGATACAGAAAGAGGCATACTAGGTTTTGGTTATGAATATTTAGTGACCTCTGTCTTTCAAAACTATGAATAACATAGGAGTTAAGAAATAGAGAGATTTTCCATTAAGTTTGAATAGTTTGAACAAAAAAAACCCTCACCTCCACAAAATGACAGAATTCTCTCTCCTAACCCCTTTTTTAACATAATGGGAGTGCTCACCCTGATAATTTGAAATGCTGCTCCTTTCTCACATCTTCCAGGAGTTACACAGGATTCCAGTTATTACACAATCACAGAATCGCTGAGGTTGGAAACAATTTCTGAAGGTCCTCTAGTCCAACCCCTCAGCTCCAACAGGGTCACCTACAACCACTTGCCCAGGAGTATGTCCAGATGACTCGAATATTTCCAAGGATAGAGACTCCACAGTCTCTCTGAATAAATTGTCCCAGTGTTCAGTCACTCTCACAGTAAAAACTGTTTCTTGATGTTCAGAGGCAACTTCCTAGGTCTCAGTTTGTGCCCACTGCTCCTGCCAGCGGACATAAGTTAAAATACATGAAATTCTATCAGAATATGAGAAAATTCTTTTTACTGTGAGGATCATCAACACTGGAGAAGGTTGCCTGGAGAGACTGCAGAGATTCCATCCCCAAAGATACTCAAAATCCAAAGGGACACAGCCCTGTGCAACCTACTCTACCTGACCCCATGTGAGGGGACATGCACTAGATGATTTCAGCCAGTCTTTAGCAGCTTAAAGGACTGATTTTTTATCAGCTGCTGTTAAACAACACTTTCACTAGAAGTTTTTTAACAATTCAGCAAATTGTAAATTCAACCAAGCCAGTCAAAAGAAGGTGTGAGAATATGAATGTTCCAGCAATTCAAAAGAGAATACCTAGGGAAAACATTTGCCCATGATGCTCTTACCAAAAATGAAATGGCTACAAGATATTTTGCTAAAGCCCCTTCCCATCTCAGTTCCCTAGAACACACAGGATGCCACATGATTTTAAACATATTCTTCAATATGAGACGCTGAAGAAATTTGTAACTTTTCCTTTCAAATTTTGAAGTGAGTTCAGGTTCTAGGACTTACACTGTTATCTATAAAAATAAATAATGAACATTTGATTCCTTAGGAAAGGCCAAAAGCTTTACTTTCTAGCTCTTCACAATGATCTAGAATCCCTGCAATAAGGATTCTGAATTTTTGACATAATGAGCAATAGTGTCAGCAACAAAAATGTCAAAGCAAAACAGAATTACAGAATTAATACACTCAAGTGGTTCAGTATCAAGACTCAAAGAAAATTCCATAACTCTGATAATGAATTCTGTGTCCTATATAAATGAACACCGTATTTGCAAACTGAATTATTGAAGCTCTTGCATAACTGATGAATAAAGGAATACAATGTCTGTTTTGAGCACACAGACCAAATCCAAGGCCTTTTTTCCCCATGAAGTACTTTAGAAAATTTTTGATACTTTCACAAAATAATACAAAGATATAATAACACAAGAAATTCTAAAGAAGACTAGTGTAAGAGTCAAAATTATTGCCAAAATACTTCCCAAAAATCAGACCAGACCAAAAGTTACCATTAGGAAATTACCAGGTAAAACCTGACAGTAAAAGAGAATAGGTTATACTTAAGAGCAACAGAAAACACTGCATCTGCAGAGTCTTAAACACACCACTTACTGCTTTGACTCATGGTGACAGACCTCCAGTGTGGGATCGTTATAGATGAAAGCTGCTTCTAAATCATTGACTCTCACTCTGTAAATCCTGCACTGCTTACTGTTCAGCTTGATTCTGTTCAGGTTTGCCACTGTGGGAAATATTGTGAGTTCCACATAACCCTACAAAAACACAAATCAAAATCTTCTGTAAAATCTTTAGCAACTCAAAAACTAGAGAAATATAAAAAATTATTACTAATATAGTTTTTTTTTAAAAATCACTAGTATGAAGATGATATTTTCACATTTAAAAACGAAAATTAATTGCCCTTTACATTTTCTTTCATACCATTTAACAGGTGAACTTTTGCAGCTGTAAATGAAACATAATAATAAGACAAAACAAAAAATTCAATGTGACTGACAATCATGCCTGTTTTACTGCCTCTATTGACTAGATTTCAAGTTATTAGCAGCATTATGTTGTATGTTTTAGTACCTGAACTTGAGACAAGAATTCTTAAAACCTAAGCAGAATCTTTTTAAACAGATAAGTAAATTGACAAAGATCCTTGAAGGCTTTAGGCCTGAAATTATGAAAGTCTCTTCAAAGCCCAAGTGAACTCACATACAAGGTAGAAAACTCTGTAAGCCTATCCCAAACATCAGCTAACTCTATGTGAGCATGAATTTTGAACTGCAAATTGCTTTGTAATATTTACAGTGCAGCAGCCATCATTTAGAAATCTTTTTCGAGAAGTGCTCACAATTAGAAGGAATTTTATCTCAAGCAATGACAGACTTATGAGAAGCATCAGATTAGAAAGTATAACATATGAAGTAGCTGAACAGCATAATTAGCTTGTGAGAGCAGCTTTTTTCTCTAAAAGCATGAAGATACTTAATTTCTACTTCACACTTTATTAAGAAATACTTACTACAACAGACTTTCTCTGAAAATTTATGTTGTTGATACAAACTACCTGATGAGTTGTGCTGAAAGAAAAAAAAAATAAAGTAAGGTTTTGCACAAATGCCAGCATTTAAAATAATATTTTAACCCAGTTTAATACAGAGCCACACAGCATATATGTACATAAAGATAAATACGGCAAATAGAATATACTTTTATAAAAATCATTAATGATTTGTTTCAATCTTTGATGTGGTCTAAACCAAATAATGAATAGAAGTTACCCACAATGTCAGGAAAATCCCCCAAGAAATCAAACACAGTATCATACCAGGATGAACATTGCTGGTAATACAGGAAGATAACATAATGTTTGAACAACACTTATCTTCATGTAAAAATAAAGAATTACAAATGGCAGTGTCCAGGTCTAACACTGTAGTGATGAGCAGTATCAGTAGTGGCACAAGCCATAACACCTGCAACCAGAGACCTGTGGAAAGTTTACCACCAGGAGAGCTGACACTCACACGTAATTTATGTAAGCAGGTATTACACATCAAAAGACACAGTATGTGCTTTTACAATTAGCATGCCCTAAGAATTTGCAATTTAAAATAATGCTAATCCATTAAACAAGATAGGTATTTTATACTAGTCAAATGCATTTGCTTAAATTTTGAGTGACACATTAGAACTCCCGGTAAATAAAACTGATTTAAAAGGTAGTAGATAATATAATTCCAACTTTTTAAAAATCCTGTAAGTTATTTCTATGTAATTTTCTGTAGTGGGTGTCATCTTTACAGTAGTGCATTTCATGACTCAAGACAAAACCTTGAAATAATTCAACTTCTATGGCACATTATGCTTCATCTGCACATATCCTGTGGATTAAGAAGTGATATTGCTTCAGGTGAGACAAAAACTTCTTACAAGAGAATTACATCTAAAAATGGATTCAGATGTTACTTACTATAAGTGTATATGAGAAGACTGATTCTACTTAGAAATACATTCATGTAACAGATTTATAAAGGAATCAAAGAGGTATAACAAGCAATCTATTAAAATGCACTGAAATCCACCTTCAACTGCTTTGCAGCTTGGTTACAACCCAAGTAGTTAATGTGTGAAAACGACAATTTGCTTAACAAAGCGGCTTGATGCAAAGGCAAACATTTTTTTATACATAAAAAGCCCTTAAGTCAAAAGAGCTTTTTGACACAGCATATGGAACATCGTAGTATGGTGTTTAGTACAGACACTGTGTGAAGCAATGTCCAAAGTGTGCAGAGCGTAATATAAATATCTTTGTGATTCTGCATGGTTGACAGACTTGCTGCCATGAGTAAGCCCATTTACACATTCAAACACACATCTGCAACACACATTTTCTGAATGCAGGCTACACCACAAGCAACAGTTCCTTCTTAAATACATCACTATTAATCAGCCTTTGGCCTGATTCAGTGTGCACTGGTTTCAAGTATAGCAATTTAAAAAAATGGATACTTATAATTTATAGGGTCTTGGGCTTTCAAATCCTTTGTCTCCTTTCTTCCTATTCATCCTGAACCGTAGCACTGAACACACTCTGCTGACCGTCAGACTGGCACCAACATCATCCTCACTCAGCGCGTCCTTCCATTTTCCCCCGTGTCACGCCGTACTGGATCTCTCATCTCCTCAGCGGATGTGTGACCCCCCGCAGTCAGGAATCCGCAGCTGGAGCGAGCGCCATCGCTACAGCACCACCACCAAGCAGCGTTTGTACAAACCCTCCTGCGGGTGCACACGCAGCCCCTCTGTCTCCTGGCGTTACGGAACCAGTCCAGAGGCGCTTCCTCCCTACGGGAACTACGGAAAGCAACCGGCTCAGCGGGCAGCGCCGGGGGCAGCGACGGAATCAGGAGGACCGCGGCCAGGACGGCCGGGCAGGCACCGGGGTCCGCGCTCCTGGGAGCGCCGGCTGGGGCGGCGCCGTCCGCTGAGAGCCGGGAAAGGCGCAAAGGCTCGAGCGGGCCCGGCGGTGGCCGCGGGTCTCCCTCAGCAGCGCGCCCGCCGCGGCCCTTCCGCAGCCGCCGCCATCTTGGCAGTCACCCCCGACCCCGCGGGTGAGAGGTCACGGCCCGATTGACTGAGCTCTATCACTTCAGCGGGAACGGCTGTTGGAGCTTTGCTTTTTACAGAAAGGCAGATCAGCAGCGGCAGCCGGAGAGAATAAAAAAAAAAAAAAAAAAGGAAAAATAAAATAACCCTGCAGAATAACCTAAAAGCCGACAGGGGCCGCGCCGTATCCCCGTGCGCAGGCGCCGGAGCTCGCGCAGGCGCGGGCGTGCGGAAGGCGGGAAGGGGCGGCGGGAGCAGCGCGCGCCCGGGAAGCGAAGGCGGGTCGGGAGCGCCGGGATGCGCCTGCCACCCCACAGAGATCGCCACCCTCCTGCGGGGGCAGGAGGACACGAGATAAAGCGCCTTCATAACCAAGATTGTTATAAGTAACTTCAGATTCGTCTATCTTAGGTGAAAATAAATGGTTGCATCAAAGAAACTGATGCGGAGTTTGAAAGCGTCATTTCATTTTCAATGTGTGGCAAAACCAATCAGGAGCACTACACACATGGAATGATCACACACACAAAATTAATTTAAACAAACTCTTCTGATGGCTGCAATAAAGCTCTATTCATTAAACACTTAATTTCTTATTTGTTTTACAAAGAAATACCTATGTAAATACAAATTTGGAGCACAAATATAAAAGTATCAATTGTGCTGTGTATTTCAACTAAGGGGCCTTCTGTGATGCAATGGAAGGAATTTCCAGGAGCTTCTAAGGCTTTTCCATCCGTATAACCATTGATCTCTGGCAGTGAACCTTCTGGTGCTGCTGGGGGAGCGCAGCTGTTGGAACCAGACAGCAAACGAGGCCGTCCCTCCCAGCAGAGCCATTCTGCATCTGCACACAGCTGGTCAGACACCACACCCCTGCACCAGCAACGTGCAGCACAGGGCAGCAATAAACAGAGCTCAGGTAGTAGCTTTTATTCAGCTTTTTATCTGTACCAAATTCCAAGTACGCACACAGTGTGCATCTTAAGAGTTACATTTGATTTAGGAGGAGCTTCTCTACTCTCCCCACTCACTCTACAGCTGGAATGCTGGCAGTTCCAAGGTATTTCCTACCTCACATTTGAGTGTGATAGAAAAAATTGTTTTTGTATCAAATGACCAGCATCTGTTAAGCTTAAAATATAAATCTGAAAACTAGCTAATATTAAACTCTGGTTTACTGACATGCAAACAATCATTTTTAATGATTACAAAATTACCATCTCAGGCACACCACTTCATGGCAGTATCACAAAAACACTCTGTTTCATTGCTCTACATAGAACAATATTATCATTACAAAACTGTAAGGTTTCAAGGCACAATTTCTATGTGCTGTCATTTGCCCTAAAGAAGTTTTAAAAAAATAATTGTATTACAAAGTTTTGTAGGTTATTCTTAAAAAAGCACAAGTAGTCTTCTGCAAAGCATTAGTTTTACCTCAGCTACATTTTAATGACAGTTTATAGGAAATTTGTAACACAATGTCCAACTACTCTCTCTTATATTCACACTTCACTGCAATTAGGATTTTTTGTAATATATATAAGGCCATTCTGCCAAGTATTAAAGTGTCAGGTGCTTGTACTGATGTTGTTCATAGACATGACCTTAAAAAGATCCACTTTTCAAAATCAAGACTGATGTAGTCTCAGTGAGGAATGATTTGTTCATGAGCTTGATGAGCTCTGTGCTATTCAAAATGGGAACACTGCATTGAAACTTTAATCTTTAAGAATGGCCAATAATGGGCAGAAGACTAAAATTTCCATTTTGGTATTCAATTCAATTGATTGAATTATTATCAAGGAGGTTTGAAATTTTCATTTCAGACTTACAGATAAACAGATTATGTGTATTCAAGAAGTAGAAGTTGGGCAAAGGAAGATTGGCAAAGAAGTCTGGCAAAGGAAGGTGAGCTGAATATCATTCCTTAGAGGGCACAAGTGTCCTCACACTCTCCTTAGCTGAGCAGAAGACACATGTTCAAGCAGCCTAGCTTAAACTCAAGTACATTGTACAATGATGGTTGGCCACTCTTCTCCCCAGAAGGCAGCAGCAAGCAACATTCACTGTTACTACATTCAGTATCCTCAGTTCTTCAAACAATACTTGTTATGAGATGGGTCTTCTGGAATTATAAACTTTTACACCATTCAGCATTGAGGAGCGAGCATATTTTGTCAGAAGAGCACCAACAGTCTGCTTCTCTGCACACAAGTCTCTACAGAGGAAATAAAGCACATGACATTGGCATTTAGAGATACTCTCCCACAAAATCAATCTGTAAAATATTTGTAACTACAGCAATAAAATGGATTTGGATGTTAGGAAAAAAACCCAGAACTACTGTAACTGTCACATAATGCTTTAAATTACCTAAAGTTTAGAACTTACCTTGACATTTACACACTAGGCAAAACTACACTATTTACTTCAGAAAAAAGAATTTTGGGTTTTAGGCAGAGTTTTATTATTACTGTTTTTATTCTCTAACAGAGTTTTTTATCTAGCAAAAGAGCTAGCTCTGAACTATTCAGTTATATTACAGTAAATTTAGAGCCACTCATAAAGGGTTGATGCAGTTACTTCTTGGTTAGCATCAACATCTGCTCACATATCTCACAGCTGGACATTCCAGATAATGTAGTAGTATAAGTCTTAACTACCAAAGGAACAAAGGAGGCAGTACAGGAAGCACTACTTCTTTATAGTTCTAGTGTTGTAAATATAGAGACTCATTGTAAATGTCAGCAAGTTTAGCCTTTGAATTGTCTGCCTTAATCAAATGAGAATTATCATCCATTCAAACCCAGTAGGATTAGCTTTTTACACACATTTAAATCCAAAAAAGAAAATTACAGATCCCAGAGGTGGGTATTCTATTCATATAGAATCCATTTAATTTAAAATGCAAAGTGTAATAGTATCACTAAGGCAGTGATAGCTCATCAGAAGCCAGCTATACAAAAAGGGAAGAATATAGTAGTAATTATGTTTTAATAAAAATAAATACATCCTTACTGTATATAAGGGGTAATATCCACTTCTGTCCACTTTTCCCGTATGCCAAATAAGCTGTTGAATCTTTCCTGATTGTCTTCAGGTAAGTCTTCCACTTTTAGCAGAAAGATGGTCTCTGGTCTGGAACTTTTATCCACAAGAGCCAAGCCCTGCAGAACAGCATCAGAAAGGAAATGTTAAGTACCAACAGAACAATTAAACTTCCTTCTTTCTGACAATATTCCATATAAGTTGCTCTTTGCAGATCCAAAGCTTTCCAGAACTGTCCTACCAGAGGCAAAGTGAAGAAGTATCATAAGGGCACTGTTTTACAGGCAGTATTTATAATTTCCTTTATGATAAGAAGGAAGTGAGAATCCATTGGGTTTCAACATCTCTCTGCCCACTTTGGGCAAAAGGATTCCAGTAGTTTTTGCTACTCTACTGGCTGTCACTACCATCTGTTCAACAACAGCTTCAGCTTCTGTTCTAGTCACATTTACAAGTAGTAAATTACAGCTTCAACCTTTCTTCAAACAGTGAAACATGCCTGAGTTACAGAAACCTGAATTATCATGATTCCAGACTACTGGTGCTCATAGAGGACATCATAAAGCATACCTGAACTCAAAAGCTGACAGAAACAACACAATACCCAATAATGGATAAAATCTATATACGACACAAGTCAGTTACAGCCTACTCATAAAATAATCCATATTTCTTTACGTGTTTACCTGAAGCTGATCAAGCCTTGTTGTCATCCCCTCAGGGACACTCTGTTGCCAGACTTCTTCAAACTCTGACAGGTTGAATTTAACTGCATTCTGCAAAAGCATTTGTGCTATAGCTCTGCATATTTTATCTTCATGCATTTCAAAGAAAACCTCCCCTGCTGAGAAGCAAAAACTAGTTTATCTTGGGTTCTTCCCTTTTGATAAAACAACAGCCTTGTATTTCCATTCTGTTCTACAGTCTTCTATACACCAAGCATTTTCTTTTCTTTCCCTTGGGAAGTTATTTGACTTGGTATTAATTTGGATAAATTATGGTATCTTCTCATTCTCAAGAACAAATTATGCAGAATACAGCAGCACTGTCCCAACTACAGCTCTCATTCCTATTTCTGAATAGCTTGTAAACAAAACTTTCTCTTCTTTAATCACCCTTATGAGATTACGAAGGGATGAGACTTCATTTTCTCTCACACTGACTTGGCTAAAATTTTCTGAATCAAATCAGGTATAAACACTTCCTTCTACTGTTTCAGCCACCTGTCTGTAATTCAGACTTGCTCCTTGTGCAAATTGCCTAAATATATTAAGACAAGAGTCTGTTGTCACTCCAATGACTTTCTTATGTTCTTTAAGGTTGAGTGAAACTCCTACTTCAGCCAAAGGTGAGATGAAAGCCACTGTGGGGAAGAGTTCAGACTGAATTAGGGCAGTGCAGTATTGCATCTGTGTGTGAGATGGACAATGGAAATCACTACAACCAGCAGATCTTGTGCTGCTTTTCAAGAGATCAAAGGCAGATGCCTACTTCAGGCAAGCTGAATTCATGCCATTGAGTACTCATAATAGCACAATTAATTACTTAAATATTTGAGGTCTTCTAGGGTATCTAAAGAGAGATGTCATTTAAATTTTACTAGTGAGCTCTCTTTGGTCATGAAATTATGGCTTGTACACACCTAAAAAATCAGTTCCAGTACCTCTGTTCACAATTGTCTTGTACAGTTTAATAGCCTTTTTTTCCTATGAAACTTCCTTTAACAATTGTACTGATTTTTAGCCCAGTTTGCTCCCTCCTTATACTGGCAGTGTAGCAGAGTCAGTTGTTTGGGCCATTCTTCACAAAACCTATATTTGCCCACTAATAACTATTTATTTTATGCAAAGTTAAACCATGCAAGCTTTCCCAAACTTACCATCATCAACGTATTTCCTGCCGTAGCTTAAAAGAATGTGTTCTATCATCTCTCTGGAAAAAAAAATCAGAAAACATGTTCTAACACTGTTTACTAGGACACTACTGAAACAGTTACCAAGAAGATTAAGAAACAGGTATGGAGAAAAAAAAATAAACTGAAGAAAATAGCTGATGAGACACATTTTTGTGGGTGAAATGAAGAAGCTTGTAAAAAAGTAAAAGAAGTAAAAGAGAGAAGGATCTCCCCCAAAGGTCTCTTCCACTGTCTAGTTATAACTAGCAAAGACTAAAATGCATAAGGGAAATAAGGAACAGACTCTTGCAATATCACTTTTTTTCCAATGAGAAAGAATTGTATCAGCAACAGTGTGGCCAGCAGGACCAGGGCAGGGATTGTCCCCTGTACTCAGCACTGGTGAAGCCACACCTCAAATCCTGGGTCCAGTTCTGGGCCCCTCACTACAAGAAGGACATTGAGGGGCTGGAGTGGGGTCACAGGAGGGCAACAGAGCTGGGGAAGGGTCTGGAGCACAAATCAGATAAGGAGCAGCTGAGGGAGCTGGGGATGTTTAGCCTGGAGAAAAGGAGGCTCAGGGGAGCCTTGTCACTCTCTACAACTCCCTGAAAGGAGGCTGTAGCCAGATTTGCAAGACTATAATTTTAATAGACAGTTAACAAGTACTGGAATTACTCATAGTTAATAATGAATGTAGGCAATTGTAAGTACTAAAAATAATTGTTTACCTGGGTTCTAGAGATCCAAGTTCTTCAAGGCAGGCACAGAGAGGAACCTTACTCAAAGGCCAGGACTCTGAGTCTATTAGCTGAGTCACATGATTCAAGAGTTTCATCTCATAGTCAAAGTCTAGAATTCTCCAATATCCTGCCAAACAGAGCACCACAAAACACTGTTAGAAGGAAAACATTTAACACCTTAATTCTATTGCCACTAAGATACATTACTGGAGTCTGGACATCCAGGTCACACCTTTACAACATGCAGCAGCATCGTGTTGTTTTCAGGATTAAAAGCTGAGAATAGGAGCTAAATAATAAGAGCATATGTAAAGGAGAATGAAACTTAATTATCTCAATTGTTGGGAATTCTTTTGTAATTCTTTAACTGCCATAAAGACACGAAAAATATCACTCCAAGATTAATCAGATGTGGAATAACTAATGCTTAGTTCAGGAACAGAACTGCATGAACAGGACTGGCTGCATTGGCCCTACAAAGCAACAGCTCAGGTCCAGAGAAGTTCACAAAAATCCAGAAACCCAGATGACTGTAGGACTGCCATCACCTTGTGTCCCAGTGAGGGTATGGGCATGGCCAAGTAAAGGATGAATAGGACCTGTCCAAGGTGAGGCACTGTTCAAGCCTTTCCTTTCTTCACATGACAGGAAGGCACTAAGATAAACCAAGTCCAGGAGGAAGAAAGGACTATGAAAAGGATGGGGTTACCCAAGAATCAGCTATTTTTGCCTCTAGAACTACAGAAAGCAGCACCCATTCATTAATGAAGAGCGTTAAAAAATATTCATGCTGTGGGTGGGATACTCTGATACCAGTGTTTGCAGCAGCAAAGAAGGGGTTATCCTGGAAAGAGAGACTGGCAGTGCCTGCTCAGCTTCATCCTTCTGATCAGATTTGTAGCAGCAGAGGACATGGATCTATGGAAACAAGTCTTAGAACTTTGAAGTAACTTGCACCTTGAAAGATAAGGATATGGAATAGGCCTTAGAAAAAAGAAACATACATTTTGGGGAAAATAGAGAGTTATTTCCTCATAGGTAATAATATTTTTTAGATACAAATACCTTCGATTTTGCAGGCATCTATAACCTGCAATTGGTGGAGTATTTCTTCTTCACTTGCTTGAATGAGACTTAACAAATCTTCTGTTGTATACTGCAACAAGGGGAAAAAAAAAGGAAATAAAAGAATTCTTTATATTAGAAGGAGTTATTCTTACTCCTTCTTTGCTTCAGCGACCATACTAAAAGCATTACAAGCTATAATGAAGGAAAGACTGAAGATAGATGTTTTTTCCCCGCCACTGAATTTTCTAAGGTTTGCCACACTCTCTGAAACTCTTCTTGTAACTTAAAACATTTTCTCAAAGGGTTATTCAATATAAAAGTCAGTCTAACTACAGCAAAGTCTGTACCAAGCAAGTAAAAGACCAAAGTCTGTGTAAGCAAAATACCTATATTTCCAGAATGTCAAACTAGCACAAGCAGACCTTGTAAGTGAAGTATCCCAACAAGAATAAAAAGTCAATGTGTTCTGGCTTTTCTGAAATCACATACTTTAATCTGTGAGATTCAAAGAAAAGGCAAAGCAAAAATCACTTATCACTTTTGGATAGAAGTCAGAACCTGCACTTAGCACCTCCACTGAGGGAAAGGCTCCTCCACCATCACCTCAACAGTTACATGTTGTGTTTTGGTGTCTGCTAATCAGCTGGCACACACACAGCACAGACCCAGCCAGAACACAAACACCTCCCTGCACAACAGTTATGTGCTGAGACGGGAAGGTGCTGTGGTGATGGGTTTATAAAGGTGTGGGTGCATCAGAAGTTATCATGAGGAGTGAAGTAAATGGAAGAAATACCAGACTTCAATGCACTGGAAATAGGACACCAATTCCTTTATTCACAGTAGAGTCTTTTTAATCAACTCTAATATTAAAGTTCTGTTGATTATAGCTCAAAAATATTTCCTATCAGAACGAAAAACACTGGATTAAGTATTGGATTGAGATCTATCTATGAGAACACAAATGGAGCATACCAACACTAAATTTGGAACAACCATATGTTAAAAAAACATTTAATAAATACAGAAAGGCCTCCACTTCCTGCTATACTGTTCCTATCAGATGATAGCAATATGCTATTCCTATCATCAGGCCAAGCTCCCATCGGTATGTCAATGAGGGATGACCCAATTATACAGTACTTAAAAAAAAACACTGCTAGCAATTGAGAGCAAAAATATCCCCAAATCAGTATGTGTTTGAAGTTTATTGCTGCCATTCAGATGCCTTAAACAGAACTCCTTGGGATATGTTTCTGCTTTGAGGCAAGTCCAGCAATCCCAACAGCTTTTTTCAATACATCACTGCTCTCAGCTCTGATGCTTTTATCAGCTGCATTGCCCTTGCAAATATAAAATAGAATGGGTTGACCTTGCATCGTGTCCACACCAGCAACTTCCAGATAATGTATTGAATATGTTTCTTATCCTTTTTCTTATCAGATGTCTATGATCATCTGAGTACGCCCTGTCATTTCACAGTAAAATTCAGTACTAGCCTATACATTTATAAGCTTTCCTCTACTTTGCTAAATCAAAACACTGTGCAACAGGTTCCCTACAGTGCCATAGATCTTTTATGGCTCTTTTGATAGGGCTCTCTGTGTATGATACAGTCCCAAAAATCATGAGACTCAGCTTACAGTAAACAACCAAAAGAGTAATTTGTTTTCAAACAGATTGAAGGTGGCCCATTAATTTCCAGCACACGATAAATGTTAAGTGTAAGCAAACAAAACAGTGGAAATCATTACTACATACATGTAGCCATGATATTATGAAAAATCCTTTGCTGGGATTTTTCCTCTCCTGAGAAGCTGAGGAGCCTCAGGAGAGAAATGTAAACAATTACTATCTGCTGCTGTGGAATGCAACAGGTGCATCCGTGATTGGCCCATGTGGATTGTTTTCCATTGATGACCAATCACAGCCACCTGTGCCAAGGCTGTGAGCAGTCACAGAATTTTGTTATTCTATTCTGTTCTATTCTTGTTGAGCCTTCTGTTCTCTCTGTTCTTTTAGTATAGTCTTAATGTAGCATTTTAATATAATATTTAACATAATAAATCAGCCTTCTGAAACGGAGTCAAGCCTCGTGTCTCCACACACAGAGAGTTCGCCTCAACACATACACTGTTTGGTATTTCAGTGAAAATTAGCCCTATAGGAAAGAGTTTTCCCCTGGAGACCTTTCAGATTAATTTAGGAGTTCCACCAGAGGCAAGGTTAAGACTTGTCTACATTTATCAGATATATCTAATTGTTATCCAGTGAGCTCATAGAGGAAATGCATTCTCCTTCAAAAATAAATGGTGATCAATCCTCAAACCAGTCATTAATATTTGGGAGACGCTGACATCTTTTCAATAATACCCAATACTATGAATAAACACTATTTCATATGACTTTTTCATGTTGCTAGCCTTTGACAATGCTTATAATTTTCAGACAATTTAAGCCCTTTAACCTTTGCCATCCCTTATTTTGCTCTATGTCCTTCTATGCCTAGATCAGCACAGGTAGGCAATTCTGGGGGCAAGATTCTGTAACTAATCAGAAATCAGCCTGTTAATCATCCAAGAAGAGAGAAGCATCATGTCTCTCCAGAGAAAAGTAACATCTGTGTTTGCATATCCAAGCACATGCAGATGGTTTGGTAGTGTCAACTTCAATCAAGCCTCAGCATAAAATACGTGGGAGCAACTACTTTTTGGTTTTAAAGTCAAAAGGAAAACCAACCAAGCTAACAAAACCCCAGAATTTTCATCAGCCTTTCAGCTGAGATCATATACTGCACAGTCCAGGTCTCCCTATTACTCTTTAGGTCCCAAATTAAATTTGGAAACACCTTAAGACAGCAGGACAGGATTTCATTTGTGTTTTCCCTTCTTTTTAGCATGTCTTATTCCATGCCTTATATAAATCCCTGCTACTCTCTTCAACTCCTTACTTCTCCTTGTCATCACCAATTACTGACTGGCTCTAACCTCATACATGGCAGACCCGAAGAAGAAGGAAAGGCTGCATTATACCTTAGTCAACATGTAACTCTCAAGGAATTTAGAAAAGATCCTGAAAGTTGTGCTCCAAGAAACTTCCCACAGGAAAAGAGAAATCCCCAGTCCCCTTCCATGTCCTTCATTTCCTCTTTTAACTAACAAAAAGGTTGCTTACCTGTACACACTGGAAGTGCTAACAACCACCAACTTATTTAAAATAGAAGGGTTAAAAAATTAACTGTAAGAAGCACTGTGAATCATGTGAGGAAAGGGATTTTTCTACTTCAAGATGCTTCCTCACTTTAATTTTCTCATTACCAATTAGAAGAAAGCAATTTACCCAGCTGATTTACCTTTGAAAATGTTGAAGCCTGATCTTTCTGACTATCAGGCCCTTCATATGGATCTTCCATTAAAAGCTTCCTCAGTTTCTTCAGCTTTGGTCGACATCTCCTTAATTCCCAATAGTTCTTGGAGAAACCAGCAATCTACAAGAGAAAACAGCAACTCTTTCAACTTTTTAATATAGCATCTGGATTCAAAGCTGCTTACCAAAAATTATCAGCAAGCAGCGTTAACCCTGTCACTGAAAACAAGTAACTATTAATAGGGTAATTACTTTAGAGATAAAACAATCATTTCAATGTTTGCAATTAAAAAAAATTACTACAGACAATGAAGAATAAATATCCAGTGTTGATTGATAAAAAATATGTTTGTAGTGCATAAGACAAAGGTAATAACTCAACTCTACATGCAAATGACAAGAAACCACCACGGGATATATTTCTGCACAATTATCCTCATAACTGCTTTTTGTCTTAACAGTAAATTGTATTATTGCCATGAAAGCCCTCCTGTACTAACCTGTGTCTATCTTCCCCACTTCTTCCCATGCTTGGGATCTACTTCATGGTCTTTTTAATGAATCATCATGGTCCTAAGCTCAAGCAAAGCCGATATTAACGAGGACAGAAAGCTACACTGGCACACAACTGACAAGACACCTCTGTTCCTTGCCCTGAGCCAACACACAAATGAAAAGCAAGAGGAAGTCTGGCCGTTCTTGATTCAGCAACACTGACTTACCAAAGCTTTACTTTCAGAGTAATCCTGAGGTGTTTCATGGGGTACAGCTTTGAATTACTGCAAGAGTCTTTGAAGAGGGCAGACTATTGGAGGCCTTTCAGCATCATTTCTGTGATTTACCAAACTGACAAAAATAGGAACAGAATCACAGAGGAAAACAGGCTCCAGCTTAGTGACTCTTGACCCAATCAATGATCCCATGTTAAAACAGCTTCCACGAAAAAGTCTCTAGGCAGTGCTTTAAAATACCCTAAGTGCTTTACTGGAGTACTTGAGGTATTTTAGAAGCCCTCAATTAAAAAAAAAAAAAAAAACAACAACAAAAAAAAAAACCCTTAAAACTTTAAAATAATATTCTATTTAAATCAACTATAAGCAAAACCACCTATACATAGAAGAAACTGTATACAAATTCTAATACACAGAAATCTCTCAATTTTAATCTATTACATAACCGGCTTGGTAAAAAATTCAGCTAAACACCAATTTCCTGACAAACTTCCAAGCTTCATATCAACTAGTATTTACTTAAGGGCTAGGCTTTTTTCCTGCCAAGTTGTTTTCTCATCATTTTGGTAATAAGAAGATACTCTGCAGAGAAAAGAAAATAAATAATTCTAATTAATATTCCAAAGCTCCTAAACTGAGATAAGCTGTGTGAGGTGAATAAAATGGCAGATGCTTTGGCTGCATCAGCCGTGCAAGTGATACAAAGATCAGCACCAAGACTGCAAGTGAAGGGCAGTGAAGCCCCAAAGTACGGAGTACATATAGTACCTTTTGCTATGTTTCACAATTTGCAGTCTTAATGAACCATCTTACATTTTTTATATCATTTTGAGAGCTCTTAGAAATAAAACTTTTTAAATAGTTCCTAAGCAAATCACATTTCTGTGATGTGTAATGTCACAGGAATAGCGAAATTATTAAATGTAGCAAAACAAAAGTATATGGAAGAATATTACTTTCTCATTAATCTACTTCAGCTTGAATTAACTTTTTACATTAGCTCATTAGACTTCATGGAAGAACTGATGTTGAAGTAGGATTATTCCTCAATGATGCCATTATGTCCATTACAGAAAATAATTAACTAATAGTATTTGCCCAGCTATTTTTAATAGAATTTTATTAACTATGCTTCAGGAGGGCAGAGAACAATGAATTCTTAAACTGAGAACTCTAAAATCATTCACTTTGACAAATGTTTTGATACCCTAATTGAAAGAGCCACCTTTGAATACATCTCTGTATTTAAAAAATAGTATTCAGATGGTAAAATATCCCTTTTGGGGAAAGCACTCCTAAAAATTAACGTGTAAATAGCTTACTTTAAAAATAGTTGCTAACACTTTGAGAAATTTTATTTTCTTTGCAAGCTTTTAATACCTACCACAAGTAATTACTATGCAATGAAAATAAACCATAGTTTTAACTTCTCTGAAACAATAATAATCATACATTACAGAGAAAGTTCAGCTGCCTAAAGAAAAGCTATAAAGCAATTTTGGATGCCCTAAGACATAGCATGGCCCTGTATAAAAAGCACCTTTATAAAGACAGCCTCAAGGAACTGGTCAATACACAAAGAAGCTACAGCAGACTCGTCCTTTCTCCAGTGGCAGCCTGCAATAGTGGCTAAGCAATACCACAGGGCCTCTAAAATGGCATTAGAAGCCTATGCTTAGGCAACTGAATCCCAGCTGGGATTCACATATGCAGCTTGGACAAAGTTCAAGAAATTACAGAGAAAAAGAAAGCAGAGAATTAAAGGAAACAAATAAAAACCCTGAAAGACATACCTGTGAATGAATAATATTACAAGATGCCTGATCTGCATTCAGCTCCTCTGGAGTTTTGCAGCCAGGAACAAACAGCAGCATATTTGAGGTATCTGCTATTTTCATGTCATAAGTTTTATCTTTGCTGCACAACACTGCGTGTTCATCCTTCTCACCACGAATTATTAGGCTGGAAAAAAAAAAAACCAACATGGAAATAATGATATATTTTTACCTCTGTTTCAGGATAGTATTTTCTCACATTCATACATTTGTAAAGAATTACAAACTGCAGCTCTGTTTGGTAGCAGCAGTCACAGTTCAACAAAATATAAAGATGCAAATGTCAATTAATCAAATTGACTATGTTTTCCCCTCTCCTTTTAATGGGAAAACTCAAAAGACAAGCATTCCAAGTTTTCATGAACACAGCTGAATGCCTATAGTCATACAACAATACTCTCAACGCTCCTAAAACAGGGATGAAGTGATGCTTAATGTGTGAACTAGTTCACCAATCTCAGAAACTAGATTACAAACTAGAGTTGTTCTTTAATGAGGACTGAAGCTGGCCCTTGTGAAACAAGAAAGCAAACAGAAATTGTGTTTATTGTGCAGAGCCCTTCAGATAATTAATACCTATTTTCTTGCAAGTAATTCCAAGCAGGAAAAAAAAAAATCTTCTAGAACAACTCTGGACAAAGAGACAATGTAAAGCACCCTCTTCAGCTCACATACTTGATAAAGATTCTCCATTAGGATGTGATAATACCAAAGCAGGACCACGAAGGGGAACATTCAGTTCCACTCAGGCTACATACACTGACCTAAGTGCTCAGATTCAATTCAATTCAATGCTTCTCTCGTTTCCCAAAGCCTGCATGCATGAACAATGCTCAGCTGTGCCCCAAGGGATCAACATGATGCAGGCCTCTAATTGATAATACTGCATCAGTATTGCACTAAATAGGAATGGGCTTACTAACATGCATGTCAGATAACTACCTTCTTTAGAGAGATTTCTCATTTTTTATCAGTTTTCCTTATGTCACTGGCATTGCAGTAAAGGAAGAAATTTAAAACAGTATCAAAACCTTATCTAGAACCTGCTCTTGGTTCAGAGTTTGGTGGCACATAACCATCCATAATCTTATGCCCATGCTAATACTGCACATCCTTCCCCGCCAATCTGTCTAACTTGTAGGCAACCTGCCATGCATCAGGCCACGAGAGTTCTAATAGGAAAATCTCAAAGTCAGCAGGATTCTTTCAGAGACATGATATCTTTTCTAAACCTGTATTTCTGGTCATAGAATCACAGACTATCCCGAGCTGGATGTGACCCACAAGGATCACTGAGTCCAGCTCCTGGGCTGGCACAGGACTGCCCAAAGAATCACACCGTGTGCCCGAGAGTGCTGTGGCAGGCTCGGTGTTGTGACCGCTTTTTGGGGAGCCTATTCCAGCATCTTCTGAGTTTTGTTTAGAAGTCCCCACAGCAGGACGTTTTCCATAAAAAGAAAAAAAAAAACAAACCAACAAAAAAAAACACCTAAAAACTACGTACAGACAGAAAATAAACCAACAAAAACAAACCAAATACGCTTCTTAGAAGCGTAAACAGTTTTTAGTTTCCATTGTAACGGAGACAGGTCTGAGGGATTCAAGGGGCAGACACGCACACCGCATCACAAGAACACGAGCGCGGACACAGCTCCGGGCCCGGGACAGCGCCGCCCGCCCGCCGTACCTGCGCCCCGCCTCCAGCTCGGCGCACAGCCCCGGCTCCAGCTGCAGCAGGCAGCACTCGCCGCCGCCGGCCTGCGGGCCGAAGCTGAGGCAGTGCACGGCCGGCAGCAGCTCCGCCGGGTTCAGCTTGGCCGTCTGCAGCGTGGCGTCCACCTCGGCGCGGCTCCTCATGGCGGCCCCGGCCCGCTCCGAACTGCGCGCCACGGCCTCCATGCCCCGCCCGCCCAGACGGGGCCGGGCCTGCGGGGAGCGCGCGGCGGCGGCGCGCGCAGCCTGCGTTGATTCCGCGGTTGGCGGACGGATAGACGGAGGGACGGACGGCGGGGCGGGCGGGAACGCCTCGCAGTGGTACCGAGGGGAAGGAAGGACTCTCTTCCTTCTGTTCCTCCGCCGGGTCTAATCTGGGACAAACCTCCTGATTTCTGTCTGGCTGCACAGGAGCCGGGCTGTGCTGCAATGAAATCTCTCGTTCTGCCAAAAATGCAGTAAAAATATACAAAGTGCGCTAAACTAAGTAAAATGACAAAACATTGCAAAAACGTGCCCAATATGGAAGTCACTGCCCAGCTCTGAGGCAACATAAAATCATAGACGTGTTTAGGATGGAAACGGCTTCCAAGATCTAAAATCCAACCCGTTATCCAGCGCTGGCAAGTCCAGCACTAAACCGTGTCCCTGAGTGCCACACCTGCCTGTCTTTAAAACCCCTCCAGGGATGGTGACTCCGCCGCTTCCCTGGACAAGCCTCTTCCACTGCCTGACCACCTTTCCTGGGAAGACATTTTTCCCACTATCCAACCTAAATCTCTGCTGGTGCAACCTGAGCCCACTTCCTCTCATCTGTGGAAACCCAGGGCATCGAGAATATTTCTCTGTCTGCTCTGGGGTGTCCTGACCCCCAAGGGAGCACTGACTTTGACCCTCATTCATGGAGAAAGTTTCCTAGACTTCAAGATAGACTAAAATCCACAAAAGTGTGAAATAGATTATAGAGAGTAGTGTATCACTCAGTGAGAAATTTAAGTTTTGGGGGTTTTAGTGTGTTGTGAATAGAAGCAAGATAGAGAACACAAGGTGTTGTCCTGAGTTTCTTCTTCATGCTTCTTCTTCCTTCTTCTTCATAGGTTTCAGTTCTTATTTGTAATTAGGTAAAAAAGTCCACATTGCAGACTCTTTAAAATCAGTTATTAAATTAAAAGAAAAAATAATCTAGGTGTCAGTTCTTAATTAGATAGCTTAGTCTTAAAAGACCTTGTAACAAGAGATTGTTAGCCATTTTGTGCCTTCTAATGAAAAGCTGCCGAACTCACACTACTGAGACTGTTTTGCTAATAAGAAATAATAAACACTTGAGTCCGAACATGAACTACCATCTCAAGTGCCTTCAATCCAAACCCAAAGAAGCCAACGGCTAAGACCCCCACACTCATCCTGTTACTTCTCAGCTGGGATAATTCCTGGCTGGCTGCAGCATCCTTTCAGGGAATGGTCGTGAGCAATAAGGTCTCGACTGAAACTCCTTTTCTCCAGGCTAAACATCCCCAGCTCCCTCAGCTGCTCCTCATCAGACTCGTGCTCCAGACCCTTCTCCAGCTCTGTTGCCCTTCCCTGGACACACTGCAGCCCCTCAATGTCCTTCTTGCAGTGAGGGGCCCAGAACTGGACACAGCTCTCGAGGTGTGGCCTCACCAGTGCTGAGTACAGGGGGCAATCCCTGTCCTGGTCCTGCTGGCCACACTGTATCTGATCCAGGCCAGGATGCCATTGGCCTTCCTGGCCACCTGGGCACACACTGGCTCTTGTTCAGTCCCTCTTGACCAGCATCCCTTTTCCACCTGACAGCTTTCCAACCTCGCTGTCCCAAGCCTGGAGGTGTGCCACTCTCAAAGTTTTTCCTTGACACCAAGGCATGACAGCAAGTGTGGAGAGAGGGAGGTTGAGTGTGCAAGCCACCACCGTGGGGCCTGACAGTGGGTGGGAAAGCGCTGCTGAGGTGGCTGCCATGCACTGGTGTCACTCACCCCAGGTACTTCTGTCCCTCTGGCGACACTCTGACCGAGGGCAGCTACTTGCAGGCTCTCATCCATGCATGACCCCTTAGGAAAGGGCTTGCACAGCCTCCACACAGAGGTTTGTCTCCCTGTGACTCAGGGCTCAGCTCAGGCTCTTGCTGTGGCCTGATGTGGCTACATCTGCCAGAGGAAGCCATGAGGAAGTGCTTGAGCTAAAGCCATGACACAAATGAGTGGAAGCCACAGGCATGAGCAATTATTGCAATGGAAATAGTCTGCAGCTCAGACATTCAAGGGGAAGTCTACTGACATTCTTAAACCACAAGAAAAGAACAGAAGCAGAGGCTCAGAACACAGCAGCGAAGCAGCAACGAGTTAGACTTCTGCAAGAAGCAGCACAGGATGCCTCTTCCCTGCTTGTCCAGGACAACTGGCTCCTCAGACACTCACTGATTTTTGCTGCAGGACATATTAACACTCAGCCTGATTGTGTGTTAGTTCTAGCTGCCACTGTGTGCATCAGCTAGAAACAGTGCTCCTAAGTTATGTCTATCCACTTGCAGAGTTCCTCTGTGCTTGGTAAAAGTCTGAACCAAATGACCCAGATGAGGAGGTTGTAACCCCTATTATGTGGGAACCAGGAGCAGGAGCTGGTGGGATGGAGCTGGCTTCGTTCAGTCCCAGCCTGGCAGAGATCAGCTGTTGTATGTGACTGAGTCAGGCATCTTCTGTCTTCAGAAGGTGATGCCTGAGTGGTTCCGGAGGGGCAATTGGCCTTGGAGAAAACTTTGGCTGAAGTTATCAGGCAGTTATCTCTGTCACACACTTGTGCAGTGGCTTGTTCAAGACTTAGACATTGGTCATGTTTTCATGTTTTATTTCAGTTTTTGGCAGATGGAAATACCGTCATTGTGCACACAGGAAACCAGAGACACTCCAACTTTGGCTAGTTTCTACTAATGCGTAGGTGCAAACTGATATGTGTATAGCCTTATTTGAGACTTACATTTTGATTTAATGAAAATTTCTTCATGCACACCTCAGGTAAACCAGAAAATCACTTTTTACCAAGTAAATGTTGAAATAGTTACTAGGCTTATTTGTGATGGCTTTAATTTATACCTTAATTTGTGCAATTTTCCAATGACCTTGCATACATGTTTCTTGTTCTTTCTACTTTTCATTTTGTAAAAAAAGTTCTGGTATAGCCAAGAAACTGAATCCAAGGCATGGGTTCATGGAGTTTTTTCCATAAGAGATCTTTTATGTAAGAGAAACTCAATAGGAATTAAATCACTGGATGTTATTCAGGAGTTGGCATTGATCTGTGGTCAGGAACATTTGTAGCAGTTATTAATTTTTCTAATCAGTTTTGTTTATCCTGGTAGTTTTGGTTGAAGATGCTTTATATATATATAAATAAAATTATATATATGTTGGAACTGAAATGTATGTGCTTGTGTTGTCTGCCATCTTTCTCTGTCTGTCCCTTGTTTACCCTTGGAAGTTGCTGTTTAAGGTCAAGCAGATTTGGCATGTAAATTTCTTGGAATTTTGGTAGAAATCAGTGGCTGGATGATATATTGAAACCCCTACTTGGGGGAATCAGCTCTGATCCATTCTAAGAGGCAGAAGCCAACTGGCCTATCACCAAACACATGGACATAAGTCTATAGAGATGTCTCATTTCTCAGGAAACAGCTGGTATTATGCATCTGTTTTCACTGAGATTGCTTTAGAGCTGTGACCTGACAAAAACAGGTTTGTCTAGGAACTCATGAAGTTGAAACATGGATGAATCATTCAATGAATTTGAATTGCAGAGAAAATGAGATGATGAACTATCAATGTTGCTGTCAATTTATAAGCATGGCATGCTCATAAATGCATGCTATGGCAAGAGAGCTTGGTAAGATCCTGAAATTTTATATTGATGCTGTGGGGTTATTTATTTGCTTTGGAGTTGCTATAGCATAAATGATTTCTGTTTTCAGTTTGAGCTGGTCTGGTGGACTGAAAATGTCAGGGGGCAGGAGCGTCTAACATCGTGGTACAAGCAGGGGTGAAACTCACCTGCAGGAGAATGGAAGCAAGAGTAAATTCAGCCATCCTGACTTGAGGAAGCAGTAAATTCAGCCATCCTGACTTAACTAATCGCCAGCTGCTGTCAGTCCACCCAGGTGCCCATTGGAGCCTTAAGTGGCTGCTATGAGTGTGAGGTAGAAGGTGTACACCTGTCAGCATAAGGGACATGTAGACTGAACTGCCAAATAGCCTTTGCATCCTCAGCTGGGCTGGGGACAGGGCAGGAATGAAGTCAAGCCTCAAGCAAGATGAGCTTTGACATAGTTTTTCAACTGACAAGTGTTAATGGAAATTACTGTTAATGGAATGTGTTTGAGTGAAGTTAGCAAACAAAAAAGGGATCGTTGACGATTGTTATAGTCTTGCCTTTGAAGTCCTTGGCCCTGTTTAGTCTTTCCCAGAACTCAAACATCAGGGATGTGAGCCATTAAATGAATGAAGGGCATCTGTGACAAATGAAATCAAAGAAATAACTCCAAAGCTCCACATTGAAACACAGAATGATGAAGCAGGAGATAACAGTGCACAGTAGCACTGTCAAGCTCTAGTCATTAGGTAGCGTGTTAGGGGGATGACTTCCCAGTGTGATTGCAATTCAAGTGCTTGGAGCTCTGTAGTAAAATGTAGTGAGAAAATAGGGCTACATGAAATGGGGTGTTCAAATGACAAAGATGTACACACTAGAAATTTACAGATGTCCTTTAAAGTACAACAGAGGTAGCTGAGGAGATGACCACTGAAGCTCTAGGTGTGACTGGGGTTAGAGCTCTGAATGCTCTTTCAGCACATCACAGACTCCTGTGAGACACTGGGAGAATGACTGTCTACAATGACTGTGTCACATTTCCTTCCTAGGAAAACAAGAAAGAGAAAAGTCCAAACAGAAAATATCATTGTGCTATTGAATAAATCCATGGTGCACATATCCCAAATAATGATTGTCTAGTCTGTCTTAAATATAAGAACTGGGGATATATAATGATGAAAATGAACATGAATGATGAAATACATAATGATGAAAAGAACAGAAAGTAATGGATAACAGGAGAGAATGAATTTCTATGCAACACATTGAGAAATTTGGGAGATGTGGTGAAAGTCAAATTACTGTGATTCACAGAAGAGTTAGAAGAGTT